TTACAATGTTCAAGCTGAAGGAATTTTTAGCTGTGACACTGAGTTTTTCCGCTAGGGCTGGTTGCATTAAAACGTGGCTTTTGTCTATCGGTGTAAAGCCGTGATCTGTGTAAAAAGTATTTTGTGGTTTGGGATCTGCTCAGATTTTTTTCCTCATTTGTGTGATACCTGGAATATTATTGTAACCTATCGACACCAGAGCAAATAATATATGGGGTTCATTCATATCCTTTCAGATTTATATGTGAATATACCTTAAATAGCGCTTGTTCAGCTGCAGTTCTTGACAGATTGTTATGCGTGTTCAGTGACAAAAATCCAGAAATAAAGTACCAGTAATGTGTTTCGCTACCGTACAGCTTTGCAATTGTTATTGAAAAATAAGTACAGTATGTGACAGTGCCAGTATTAACTAATCTGATTTTATGCTTATTTTTCTTTATCTAGTGCTTTACCACAAATGTTAGTTTTTTTTATGAAGTCACACTATTATGCGAATAAACGTTTTTAAAACAAGATCATCATTCAAAATGTATAAATTATATAATAAAACATGTTTCCTTATATCATTTTATTTAATATATCTATGCATTTTATGTCTATGACCGGAGTAACACCAATATTTGTTTCTAATGTCTTACTTGCAGTAAAAAAATAATAATGATAATCAACAGAAAAGTTAGAATATGGGATGGCAGTGTAAATATGTAATAAACACACTTAACACAGCTGCATTGTGCTGACTTGATTTATATCTTTTCATATTGATTACATACATTAATGCCTTTGATATTCATTTCTTTGTTAAAGCATATTAAGAGTGCAAGAGGTGAGAGTCCAAAATGGGAGATAATTGTATTCCAGCATTGAAAAGATAAATTCACAAAAATGTTTTGTTTGCCGAGCGGTTTCAGTGGCTAATAGGGGACACCCAGTTACACTTTTTCGTAAGGCGGAAGTCGATGGCATTTCGACGTGTTTTTCGGCTTGTCTGGGTGTGGATCTTTTTGTTGGCTGGTTCCTTGTTACGTTTCAGAAACTGCATAAAACAGAAGACAGTACCACTGTGAGGAACCGGCTGACAGTATCCAGCCCACTCATCATGTGGCCATTAAGCTGTTTCTGAGGAACTAAACGAAGACACGTGAGAGACCAGCTGCTGCATAACTCCCGCACAAAGCAACACCATTACTGTCTTCATCATCATCATCTACTTCATCATCATCATCATCATCTTCCAGAGCTTCCAGTGATGGCAGTTTTATCCACTTTCTGGACCTAGCAGTTGCATAACTGTTTCAACCAATTTATTTTAAAACCAAGATTGTTTTAGGTATCGTATTAGTACGTCATCTCTGGAAGTTTGGGAAATTGTTATTTTTTCTGCAGTGGCACATAATAAATAAAACAAATAAGAACTTTTAAGACATGATGACGATTGCGTTACTTTTTCCATGTTTGTGCATGTAGGCCTGCATGGTGCTAGTCTACACCAGAACATGGTTAGGTGTATTTGTGTTTCGTCGCCCCGGCAACGCTCTGGGCAAGTGCTGTGAAATACTTCACAGCTTGTGAGTGTTAGCCTGCTCAGTGTGTTACTATGGCATTGCTTAAAGCGGGCAGCAATGTACCTATTTTTTTTATTACCAAACCTCTTTAACGCAGGATCACATAAACATATCAAATTGGTTGTGTAGATGACTGAGATCCACCTGAAAATGTATATAGTAGTTCTGGAGGTTTTTTCCCCAAATAGAGTGTGTGTCATGCATGGAGATTCTTGCACCAGTTTGCACGTCTTTCTACGCAGATCTTCCTCACTGTTTTCAATTTCAGGTTCCATGGACAGAAAACTTAGCATCATAAAACAAAGCTGCTTCACAATAACTTCTGCTGTCTACGGAATGGACGTGGGCTCACCACACTCAGCCCCGCAGAGAGATAAGAAACTGGCGTAGTGCTCTGCATGCAAGGCAGCATAGATGGAGGGACGCTAAAGCGAAGCTGTCCCATGTGTCCCGCTACAGTGACCCACGTGATCGAAGCAAAAGGGACGGGAATCGAAGGAAAATGTAGCAGAAACAACGGCAGATCATTTTTTTTTTCATTTTGATTTCGTTTTTGTCGAGCTGGCTGCTCTTATGAAGACAGTTACTTCAGATAATTTACAACCTAAAAATGAAGTTAGATTCCTCTATAAATAAATAACACATGTGCTAAATGTAGCAGAAAAATAGATGTCACACTTCAAATCATTATTTTAATTGGATGTGGTTTTCGAACATTCAGTCTATAAATAGAATGTTTTAACGTAACCATTGTAATACATTATCTGCTTATTGTTACTGTAGTGACCATACTATAGTCCCCTGCTCATAATATAGGCTATTAATGCAATTTAGACTTTTTCAACTCCAAAGTCAATGTATGCTGTTTTGGAGCAATCAATCCTCACGTTGTTTTTAATGTATGTCGTTGAATATATGAATTAAGATTAAACACACTGTATATACACATTCTGACACATATATAAATATCCTTGCACTTAGTTTCTGGTTGCCACATCAAAAGAGACACCTTACAAGACTCCAGATATACACGCCTAGCTATACATCCATCCAGGCTCCTCTTCATGCTGACCGTGGAACAAAGTCTGTCTCTCTGATGCTGTTTACATACTATTTCTGTAGTGAATTGAACCTTTGATTGGGGGCTTGAAATGTGCAGTGTTTGTGTGCATGTGTGTGTATGTCTGTCTGTATGCACAAACTGCAGTTATTGGTCGGTATGTGAGTTTAGCAGGTGACCCTCCCAAGCACATTGCCAGAGCATAAACAGATTGCGGTGGTTCACAAACAAACATGTGGCAGCTTTTCCACTGTGCTAGTCACCCTGTACTCGTGGCTCCATCTGCAGAGTGCAGCTGCGGAGAAAGGCGAGCGATCAGGGTATGGATTGTGATTTATAGTGGTCGGTAACAGGCAGGACCGGTCGAAACCCGAATGTGGTGCCGTAGTCAATCTTCACCACAGGTATCCCCCTTAATTCCCTCCCCAGCAAAGTTCACTACTCAGTTTCACTTTATTTCAGACATTGGGGAAGGGGGGGCAGCCAGCTGTGTCATCTGTAGGACTAACAGGTCTTGGTAACAAGTAATAAATCAAAAAGTCCCTCTGACATGTGTTATTGCATTTTGTGCACAACCCTCACTGTCTCTGTGTGATGTCAGGGTGAAGGTATGGAAACTCCAGACAGAGTGTCGACTTTTGTTACTCTTGCCCTAACTGTATAGCTACAGGCGAAAATATATATCTGCTCATCCATCCTCAATGATTCAACAAATGACGATGTTGGACAACGTCGTGTTTGAGATGTTTGTTCATCTCAGTAAGAAAACTCAAGAACAAATACCGACGAATGACGAAATGCAAGCAAACGAACAAGCAAATAAATAAAAATAGGCACATATGAAACGATTAATATTAACCGTGAAATTCTAACAGTTTGGGAACGGCGTAGAGAATGATGGTACGGGAAATATCGCCCTCTTGTGGATGTTATGTGACGCTACTTTTATGCGTAACCTGTATTTTACTCCACATAAATCAACTGCCGCAGCAGAAAATTCCTGTCTTAAAAAACTGTTTTAAGAATAATAGTATCCGACATCAGTTCAAGCTTAGCACAGGATTCAGTTAACTATTTTAAAGTCTAGGACAACCAATGTGTGAGTTTTACTGAATTTGGATATACCTTAAAGAATGTTCTTTAACATCAGTTCTTTTTCACTGAATTGAAAAATCCCCTTGCGTAACGATAATCAATGCCCTGTTTTAAAACGGAGCTGTGCAGGGTAAAATAATAAATTTAATCGGTGTACTAAATCGATATATTATTAATAGTCCACGATTCCGATCCCAGAGAAATCTGCACAAGCTTCTTGGTCAGCCTCAATAAAACGTTTTAGAAATACTCCGGCATTTATAATTGCCTTTGTGTAAAATCGGTTTTAGATATTGTCTTGTCAGGGGATCCAGCATCATGGGGCTGGATTACGATCAGTAGTGAGGCGCAGCCATGGACATAGTAGCGTACATCAGATTATCGCTGGCAGAAGGGCAGGTCTGCACCCGACACCCGGATGTGCAACCAGCTTAGCGGCTCTCTTCAATATTTTAGTTAGAATATCCCTCTGGGGCACATTCCTCAACTGGGCTCCGAAAGAGAAATGCCCTTAATCTGAATTCCGTCTCCCCCGCCCCCCAGCAGTAGAATGGACGACGATTTGGTGTCAGAGGATGATATCTGTAAGTCGCTGCATTGATTAATGGCTTGCTGGCAATAAAAACGATACGGATGTTTCATAGTGTATCATTTGCCTCTGGATCTTACGGAAAATTTCAGCTGACCTGCTGACCGTATCGTGATGGCCAAAGCCTTAACTCTGATTATGTTTATTTCAGCTCACAGTTGAAACAGTAATTACGTATTTCAAGCATTTCTTCGCTGTCAACATAATATAAATCAACCGCGTAATCTAAATATAGTATGCCAATTATGTCACGAATTTACAATCGAAACAAGTTTTTTGTAAGTTCGAGATGCAAATTATAAAACATGTACTTCAGCGTACGTGTCTTGGGTTTAGAAATTGGAAGACAACAAAGTGCGTGAAAACAACGGTGATAATGAGATGACTGTGAATTATGTTTCGCAGTTAGAAATTTAGAAAGAAACAATAGTATTTAGCTTAGTTAATCCTGATCAACTTTGTCTCGTTTGCCATTGATACTCCTGTTTCCCATGTTCAGGTACGGAGTTCTAACCGCCTCCTGTGGAAGTTTTGGCCGGGGTAGCAAAGTGGCAAACGTGATATTTTACAGTCTGCTGTTTCACGCCGGATATCCTGTTAAATGAATAAATCTGCGTTAATTGAGATGTAGCAGTAATTTTTGTCACTGTTTCTTATGCAATTATTATTTTTTTCTTTCGATTAATTGGTCGGTATAACTGTTTATAGCCCCGGTATTATATGAAAAAACGGGTAGTGCTGTAAATACTAAAGTGTTAAGAATGGCTGATAAATATGTGTCAGGCTGTAATAGGCCAAGAATCGTCACGTTACGTTTATTTGCAGTACTGAATTGTTTAGCTCTATAATTAATTGATTTAATACTATCGGTCCATGCGTCCTCTGTACCACTGATCCAGCAGAGGGTCACGCCGCTTTATTAACGTTTCTTTTGTAAAATAGCTTAGATCGTACAGTGATATAACTATGACAGTGTACCGTGGAAAGACGGGCTGTTCTTTCAGCCTTTTGTATACGGGGTTACGAGGGAAATTCACTATCTGCTGAAAGAACGACATCAGAGAGATGGAAAGTCAGCCTGTTATTAATGTGAGCAGTTATGAAAACCGCTCAGGTTTGTAAGTGAAACTGTGCTGTGACAACAATAATTTAATGAATGAATTAAAAAAAAAATATATATATTTTTTTAATAATCTGTTTTCTCCTTTCAGTGCTTCGCTCCGAAAAAGAATTCCACGATGCTGCCAAAAGAAACGATGTGGAAAAAATGCAGGAGCTCATTAGAAAAGGCGTGGACGTCAAAGCCAAAAACAAAGTGAGTATCTGACAGATCCCAAGCTGCTTCCAGCCCATTACGTTCCATTTACTCTTTTAAAGTTAATGTATGTTCGTGTTTAAATTTGACAAGCATCTCGCAGGAAGCCCTGTGCTTTCAGCCTTGAGCTGCTCAGATTCCTGTTTCCCGGAGCCCCCTCTCTGCATCCGCTCGATGTACATTTTGTATATATTCCTTAGCGTGGGAATTTTATGTAAAAATGTTCACAAAATTATGGCGTCCCGAAATAACTTTAGCAAAGCTTTAAAACTTCATCTAAAGACCATCTAAATAAACGTAAGCAGACAGTCCGTTAAATACTAGAAAATAATTTTTACCTTGTTAAATCGATTTGCATACTGTGGCTATTTTAAAGCATTTTTTACACTGCCGAAGTAGGACAGGGTGTGAAAGCGAGAGAATTTTACAGAGAAATCGTTAACCAAGCACAAAGGCTGAGAGCAAATGGTACCGCATGTGTAATTAAATATAGGGGCATATTGAGGATCTGTGGATCAGATTTGATGAATAATATGAGAAAATGGTGGTTAAATCATGTTTTATTTTCCTTTAAAGACATTGTACAACATTAGAGTTGGAGGAAGGGCATCGTGGGTCATTTGAGAACAGGATGTTGTTTTCATTTTCAGCTAAATGCCCGTTTTGAGTGTTTTTCCTCTTTATGGCATTAGGACAGTCTAGTCACTGTGCTGCCTTTAGATAACCTCTTAATTAATGATTTTTTTCCAAATACGACATAATGATGGTTATGTTATGTCATATTGGTTAAACGCAAATAGCGCAACAGACGTGACTGGATCTCTGGTTACTATAGTGATGGTCACCCCCCAGACACTGACGTGCTTCATTCTCGGACCTCATTCCGGTTGGTTCTGTTCACCTGCTGGTTCTGGATCCCATTGCAGGTCGGCAGGAAGGCCCTGCACTGGGCGGCAGGGATGGGAAATGAACAGGCCCTGCGCTTGCTCCTGGACCACGACACTGAACTGGACTCCGAGGACGTTGTAGGTGTCCCTGAGAGGCTGGTGGAAAAAGAGAACCTTAGCTGATGTCCTACATGCCTGTTTGTTATCTAATTTATTTACTTTGGTTACCAAGGAAACATTGTCATTCAGCGAGAAGGTTCTGGCTCTCAGTTTTATCCTTGTTGTGTTTGTACAACCATATATAGGTGTAGAAAGGCGGGTCAAGTACCAGAGTAACTAAACAGGAAATCTAAAGTAAACAAGGTAGAGCGACATCACATTACAAATCAGTTGTCTGTTCCCTTTGGTGAACAAGAAAAGCATTTTCCATGCAAGTTATGTATCGTGTGCTTATAACTTCTGTGGATTATAGGGTTAGGGTTGTGCTTGGTGAGTCCCGTGAAGACAGTAGGGAGTCGTCTTCTGCAACATCTGCAGTGTTTGGTTGCCTTTCTGTTGGCCACTGGTTCCTTCCTGGAGAATCCAATACAGTTTCGTGCTAAAGACTCAGGCAGTCAAAGAAAATGATGTTTAAATGATCATTGTGTTGATGGTATGATGTTGATGTTGAAGTGTGTCGGCTTTCTGAACCTCTGCTAATGCTACTCCACTATCTGCAGCCACCATCCAGTACACCCATGTGTTTTTTGTCTTGAGCACCAGCATACCACGTTTGGCTAATTAATACCTTGTTTTTGCTACTTAGCTACTTAAATCAAATAATAAATTGAGCTAGTGGTGAATTTTAACAAATACATAGAACGCCCCTGAGGAGAGGTTTGGGAATGGAAGCGGTGTTCATCTAGCCATCCAACAAGACATTAGTAACTTTTTGGAGAACAGAAGAAATAATTGTCTTACTGTTAATTTCAGTCTACTCTGACATCTAAATTGCATTTTATTTTTAGCAAACATACACTTACTACCCAGAGAAATAGCTCTAATCATTTCCTTTGACTGCTTGACTTTTGCATTGTAATGGGCATCCAAAGTGTTCTACAGTTTCTCACACATTTCTGCTGTGGTAACTTGCATTGAATGTAGCAATGACAGAAGGCTTTATTTGCCAGTTGAAGAAATGCATTTGAATTTGTTTCTTTGCTGGTCCCTTCTTGCTCTCCATAGCTTGAGGGTCACTGTGCAGGGTCACTGAATGTGTGGCCCCCTGGAGCTGGGGGTGAAGGGCCTTGCTCAAGGTCCCATGGACATGTGACGGACATGTGACTGCTCTACTGAGGCTGGGGCTTGAATCTGTGATCTTTGGATCCCAGGCACAGAAGCTTAGTTCAGTGAGCCACTCTCCACCCCTCTGTTGGGCTTTTGATTGGGCCCTTTGGCTCATGAGCTCAGATTGTGGACAGGACGCATCAGAATGGGGCCTCAGCACACAAAGAGAGTCAACCGCAGCTCAAAGGGCAGGACTGTGCAGTGTTTCCAACGACACAGCTTAATACCTAATGTCATGCACACGGCTCACATATCGTGTCTTTCCTCTCTTAATACACGAGATCTTGTTGTGCATGAGATTATACTAAGAAAAAAAGCTTTCTCTTGTATAATGCACAAATATTAACACACGGCTACTCTCTGGAGAGCATTAAGAATATTTACTGGTTTGAGTTGATGTGATGTTAACCTGTAACACTGGGATTTTGCATGTTAAGCAGTAAATAATCTAGTTAAATATTTATTGTCTGTTTTATCCAGTTTGGCATGAACGCTGTGCTGCTTTCATCCTGGTTTGGTCACCACAAAATCCTGCAGATCTTAGTGGCTTCAGGGGCAAAACTGAACTGTGAAAACAAGGTATGTTGCTTTGTCACTATGACAACCAGCGCACGATGCTGCCAGCCAGTGTTGCTCTTGGCACGGCCTTACGGAAGTCTGCGGTCGTCCTCACTGGTTTTTATTTCCTGACTGTGGCTGTTTTCTGTCTGGCAGAATGGGTTAAACATGCTGCATTGTGCCGCACAGAGGGGTCACGTTAGTGTCATGCAGTTCATCATGGAAGACCTGGAGGATGTGAGGCTTGACAGAGTGGACAAGGTGGGGAAGGAGCCGGCCACGGCAGAAGGGTGATATTACCCCCACAGACCTGAGGAGAATAAGCAGATGGATGGATGGATGGATGGATGGATGGATGATATGATATATTCTTATCACTATAGTAGTTGCTGCTCACATGAGCGGAGGGCTGGCTATTCATCACTTTGTGCTTGTTTTTGTCCATCACTGTCACAGTGATGAATAATTGAAATCAGCATTGTCCTCATTTGTTGGAAGTACATGACAAGATTGATGCGACTGATAACAGACACAGTAATCTACCATAAAGAATACTAACAGATTTTGTTTGTCATGTTTCTGTGAACAAATATCTGGCAGTATATCACTCTTGTTTCATATGGCAGTTGTGATTGGCTGTCCACATAGTGGTGAAAATTGGTTGGATGATAATGCATGGGGCGTGGATACCCTGTGACTTAAATGTCCCCAACAATACACTGCTTGTTAGCAGTACTGTAAAGTCATTTTTAATTAACTTGGTAAGTTAGGGTAACACAGTCAGTATCAGTATTGCATCTCTATCAACTCTATAGTTGGAAGCAGTAAGATGGACAGAATTTTTGAGCTGTTGAATTTGTGTGGGTTTGTGCTGAATTATGTGGAATAGAGTCGTTTTGCAGTGCCATTGAATTTTAGTGACATTCATAAAAATATGTGGGAGTCGTGATGGGGTGGCATAGTGGTTAACACTGTTGCCTTATACCTCTGGGACCAGGGTTCAAGTCTCTGCCATGGTTTCATGTGTGTGGAGTTTGCATGTTTTTGTCGTGGGGTTTTCTCCAGGTACTCCAGTTTCCCCCCACAATCTAAAAACAGCTGAGGTTAATTGAAGTTACCGTAGGTCAGTGGTGGCCAATCTTATCCGCAAAGGGCCGGTGTATATGCAGATTTTTGGGATAACCTGTAGGTCAGCTGTTCAAACCCAGTTCTGAGGACTCTTCAGCCAATCAGTCCTCTAATTAGTAATCTAATTAGGGAGTTGCAGCAAAAACCCGCATACACACCGGCCCTTTGCGGATAAGACCACCCTGGCACCATAAGACCACCCCTGCCATAGATGTATGTGCCTTGCAATGGGGGCCCCATCCTGGGTTGTTCCCTGTCTCAGGCTACAGGTCCCCTGTGACCCTGAATAGAACAAGCAGCTACAGAAAATGGATGGATGGGGATTTGTAGTAGGGTTTGTTTTTTTTTTTTTTTTTTAAAAAGTGGCAAATTCTCACAGTGGGTAACAGTGTGCTGTGAGTGACCATCGGGTGAGTCACTGAATTGCCGTACTTAACACCTGCCTCCTCCCTCAGTCAGGTAAGACGGCCCTACACCTGGCTGTAGAGCATGGACAGCTGGAGGTGGTGGAATACCTCATTGGGTTTGGATGTGCCCACGACGTCAAGGACAAGGTATCCCTCCTTGGTTCCTGGCAAATATATTGGCCCCCATTGTTTTAATTTAGGATTCAGAAAAAGCATAAATGAAATGAGAATGGGTCAGAACTGGGCACTGGAAGTAAGGGACAGGTTCACCGAGATGGCTGGTTCCGCTCTCACCTTCTCGCAGGAGATGAACACTCCATTGCATCTGGTGGCCAGGAACGGGAACATAGAAGTTCTGCAGAAGATCGTGGAGACTGGAGTGGGTCTGGACGAGAAAAATGTTGTGAGTGGAAGGCTTGTGAGCCAAAGGAGAAATCTGGAGACAAGTGCGAGTGAAGAACATTTCATATACATATTCTAGATGTGCCTGGATGACACTTGCGTCAGTCGTTGAATGTAAGGTCCTCTAAGTGATGTATCCTGTCAGTGACTGGTCACCTCAGACAGTTTATGTCTTGCTGGGGGCTTCACAGCCTTGGGATTTCTCATCTGTCAAATGGTTCTGAGACGACTGATGCAAATGTGCATTGAACAGATCTGGGATGTTTCTCAATATGCGTACTTGACCGTACTTGCGTACCCGTTTTATGTCATCTTCCATCGCCAAAGACCAGTTCCAATACAAGGAACAGAGCTATGGAGGATGATAAAAATCCCCAGATGTTGCTCTTGCCCAATCCAAATATCAAGGATACATTGCATCCTTAACAAACGAGATCAATCCTATGATTCATGTCGCCCCAAGTGCATTCTTGGGAGGAAAGTTAGCAAAACCGCTCTTGCCAAGACCACAAGTATGATCTTTGCATTCTTGGTATTGAAAAACACCCCTGATCTTATGTGGGGAAAATGACACTGTGTTTGCACACTTCAGGACGGATGGACGGCCTTGCATTTCTCTGCCGATGGAGGTCATTCAGAGTGCGTCCGGCTACTGCTGGAATCCTGCTGTGATGTCAATGCACTCACACATGCAAGTTCCATATATTTACATATGATTCTGTATATATTAATAAGCTGTTTATACAAATATTTGTACACTTTAGATACCCATAAGTGTCCTTAGAACGTCTGATTTCAAATAGTCTTGTTTGTTCATTTTTAATTATAAATATTACTTAACAATATCCATTGTATTTTTGTTATTTTTGTTTTTACAGAAGAGTATGAACGCTCTCCATTTTGCAAGTCGACACAGTCATGTAACAACAGCAAGACTACTAATAGAGGCGGGAATCAACACAGACTCCTTGGACAGTGTAATTATTGATACCTATCCATCAGTGTCCTTACTAACGTACTGACTGATAAATAGTCAGTATAGGGAGTTTAATGATACACATCTCCAGTGAACATGGAAAGGCAGATTACTGTCTGTTTTGATTTGAGAATTAGCATGGTTCTTTAATGAAATCTACAGTGCTGGAAATACAAACAGAATAGCATGCGCTAATACTAAAGCGATCGATGAGATTCAGGTGGCCCTCCTCAATATCTCCACAGCAACGGACCACGGCTCTTCACATTGCCGTGCTCAACAACCATGTGGAAACAGTGAGGCTCCTGATCGATGCAGAATGTGACCTGGATGCTTGCGATGGTGTAAGTTCATCTCTCGGGACACAAAAGCGAGAGCTCGCTAAACTCCTGGGAACAATTATCTGTGGGAGAAGTCAGATCGTCAGCGTTCCTTATATCACGCCATTAGGATCTTGATTCTTCATCACTGTCATTGTGTGTCACACCTTTGTACTGGTTGCTTAGAGAATTACTTACCCACTGATTCTGTTTTCTGCATTGCACGTTCATTATTTGAATGAGAGTTTTAATTTCAATCGAGGAAAAAGCACTGTTTCTTAAACCTGAAGTTTTATGTCTTACAGAGGCAGCAGACTGCCTTGCACATAGCAGCGGAGTTCGGCCGACAAGACATTGCCGAGATGATCCTTATCGCAGGTGTCGACCTCAGAGTCCTTGATAAGGTACTTCAGGAACTGCCAGCTAACGCCAAGGTCTGCTTCATTTACCTTTTATGGTAAAGTGTGCATATCAAAGATCAGCTGGAAGGACAAATGGAGGACAGAGTTGTGTCGAGTGGTAGTACAGGTGTTTATTCATGGAAAATGTTTTCCTGCAAATTCATTACAATGATCTGTCTCATCTCGCTCAGCAAGGGAAGACATCTTTGGATGTAGCAGCAAGAGGAAACCACATCAGTTTGGTGGACATGATCATCAAAGCAGACAGATTTTACAAATGGGAAAAGGCACGTGTGAAACTGAGCGTGACGTACTTATTCTTTACGAAACACTGTACTTATTTGTTACTGAATATCTTAGATTGTGATGTTACGCTTTTGTATTTTGATGCGTCAGGACAACCTGAGCAGCGACTCGGACTCCTGGGCGGAGAAGAACGTGACCTTCAAGCAGGACCACCGAGTGGAGACCCGCCACATCCGATCAGTCTTGTGGAGGCTGGCCACCGAGTACCTGAAGCAGGGAGAGTGGAAGAAGCTGGCCGGGCAGTGGAAGCTGACGGATGCACACATCCGGGCCATAGAGCAGCAGTGGACTGGTGAGGGTCCAGGGTTAGCGATGGCGCTATCAGAGAAGCCTTGTTATATTCAACAGTGGCCAGTAGGGGGCGTAGCGATCAAGGAAACACTCGAAAGACTCATAACATGAAGAGTTCTCAGACAGGGTGTAACTCAAGTGTGCTCATCAACATCTTTATTTCCTTGAGTAGTCTCCAGTATTAAACAAAATATAACCAAAATGATGACGAAAATAGACATCTCTAAAAGGCATCTTTCAGAAGAATTTCATCGTCACACCCTTTAAAAAATAAAACAAGGAGAGTAAAGTGGTATAGTGCAGCAACCGATTATCTGCAGAGGACCGTTCAGTTACATTTCCCTAGACATATCCGACTTTGTAGTAATATCAGAATTCATTAATCTACTTATAAAGGGCCCTAGATCTTTTCATAAATGGTTTTATATGTATTTTTTTCAAGGACAAACATATAGCCAGCTCATAAACCATTTGCTTTTATATATATGCATTTTATATACTTTTTTATAAACAAAACCAGCAACTTAGGTTACTGGGAAAAATTGCTGAATGTTCATTCTTCTAGTAGTTGGAAACTCAAACAGTGGATACTTTTTTTTGATACAAAAAGGTACAAAAAGCTACAAGGAACATGGACACCGATTGTTGCTCATCTGGCTACACAGTGTGACTGTGGCCGGTGAAAATCCAATCAAAGGCTTGTACGAGGCCCTGGTGGCCATCGCTAGGAAAGATCTCGCAGGTGAGAAACATAACCAGTCATGTGACCCTTCCAATATCTTTATATTAAGGTCAAAGGTTGATGTTCTCAACCGTCACTGTGTAAAAGTCACGACAACTAGAAATGTGTTTTAAAATGTTGCTATTTCTTTTTCAACAGAAAGTATCCGACAAAAAGCTAATGCAGATTCAAGTTCTCCGAAGAAATGTACCACCATGTGAAAGAGACTCTCCAAAGACTCTCAGGCTTTTCCACAAGTGTGGTGAAGCTTCGGATATGTTCTCACCAACAGCAATCGCAGTGAATACACTGAAGCTCACATACGACACATACATCCATAAAAGCGGCACAATTCCTTTGCCAACTTGTTTACACAACTATGGAGGGACACAGGGTGAATCTGACAGACGTGATTTAAGCACTTTGGTCTTGAACAGAAAAGGCTCTAGCTGCATTCGCCTTTGGACACACACTATTGCCGGTCCCCGAAACACAAACTTTTTTTATAAAGCTGCAATGAAAGCAGCTAAATACCATCTTATGTTCCTTTTACATTCAGAGACGTTTGTGTATCTTCCCAAATGCATAACATTTAGCCCCAGTCAAGTGGTGAAGTTGCCTTTTTGCACTTTTTTTTTGACTGGATAACTTCTGGCAGAAGTTTTAAATCCATTACTCGTGCGTTACATACATAGTTGGATCTGTCTTTAGGAACCATCATTTACATTTAACCTTTAACAAGAGGCATAAACGAATGTCGGCTAATGGTCAGTGGATGTTGCAGCTGTGTCGGCCAATTACTATTAATTGTGCCATTTGAAGAGCCCAGACACAGGGCGTGTTACGCACCGACGGGGACACACTGGTCTCTAATGAGCCCAAATGCACAGACACCTTGGATCTAGCAGATACTTTTATCCAAAGTGAGAAAGCAGCACCAGCCACTCTTATAGTACTGGGGGGGGGGGTGAATTAAGGCTGTGTTCAAGGCCCCAGTGCTGAAATCACAGCGCAGTTATGGCATCGCAGCCAAACACGTAACAGCCCACAAACACGTCAGGCACAGAAGCAGACATGCAAAAGCAGATGTTTGGCTTCATCTGCCTGTGGGGCAAACACTGCAGACAGACAAATTATTCTTTACTTTGGCATTCCGTTTTTTTATTTATTTTTTTACTTGCAGTGTTGGAATGAAGTACATCTGTGGAAGCAGTCTTTTGTAAAAACAAATTGCAGGCGATTAAACACTAAAAAAAATAGTTTTACTTTAAAATACAGATTTTAAATGCTGTATTCTGGTTGTAAAAACTCTTACATTTTACAAAATTTTAAGTGTACCTAAGTGGTATTATTTCAAAATAAAACATTTTATACATTTTGAACTGTAAGTGTAGTTTTGCTGGGGACAGTTGACGAGGTTAAAAAAACTCATTTGTAAAAATTAGCACAGTCTGATTCAGTATAACAACTAAATGAATAATCACACAAGCCTGGAGAAATCATAGGCGTTTAACAAAATCTTTAATATTTTGTTTGGTTGTATTCCTCAAAGAGCAAAACTCTTTTCTCATCAACTCATCGATAAATATCTGACATATCAAAAACACCACAATGAAGAAAAAAAAGTGCATATTGATTGCAAACATAAGGCAGAAAAGGTACAAAAAGTTGGTATTTTCCGTAAACAAATTCATGTACCCTGTCTAGTTACTAAAATAGCATTTTTCTGCAAAGTAAAAATAGGCTCCGTTTCAGGGCAGATTATATCCGATATTCCAGGAAAAAAAAAAAAAGTCTGATGTCCACCCCGCAGAGGTCACATGTTGATGCATCTCCAAGCACTGGATAAGGATGGGCCGGTCAGGGGGACCCTCGTGATGTCCGACACGGCCACAGCGGCCCGCCTTCCTGTCCCCTACAGATCCTCATTGCCATCCTGCCCTGGGCACACGCTTGCCCTCCGCACCTCCAGCTCGGCCGCGCTCACCATGGCTGGGTTGATGGCTGCGTATCGGGTGCTGTGGAACTGCCGCAGATGGATCTGAAACATACATCGAACTTGCGAGGAGGGCAGGGCCACGTGCCGCAAGCCCAGCAGAGGGTGAGGCATGTCTGACATCTGTCTTTTGCGTGGGGGCTGTGTGCATGTGCGTGTTCCTGCAGGTGTGTGTGGGACAGCACATGGAATACAGCCTTTTTGTTTATCCATACATGTACAGAATGGGCATTCTGAACTGAAATGAACAATGAAGAGCGATAACCTCTTGTTTGTTTTAAAAAAAAGATACATCACAGCTTTAATTATCCCAAGAAAATTTAGTAAAGATGGAAAATTAAGTTAATCCCGTTTAGTTCCTCCATTTGAAAGTGACCTGTAACCCTGTATCGCATATATTCTAGAGAATCACTGGAGGAAAATGTGATGTTCAGTGGAAAGTCGCTCGCTGAGCAGCAGGCAAAACTGACATTAAATGAACGCTGAAAAGGCATTACATAAGCAGGCCTGCTTGAACAACAGGTTACTCTACAGAATGTGCACCCAGAAAATCTAAAAATGCTGAATTTTCAATTCCCCCAAATAAAATAATTTCCTTTATCATATATCAATTTCACTTAGTGTCCAGCTCAGTAAACGCAGGACTTCCCGTAAATCATGGCAGTCATTTGTTTATTGGGGAGAAACTCCATGGAATCGCGCACGCACACGCACGCACAAGTCTTTGTTTACAGAAAAGACTCAAAATGTAAAACAATGCCCCAGATTTTAAAAGTGACTAAAATGCTGAAATTCGTCATCATTCAACAAAACAAGCTTGCCGGCAGGTCTAAGCAGCACTTCAAGCTGTTAAATCTGTTTAAACCTGCTAAGAAGCATTTTAATTTTGAAACATACAACGAACTCATGTCTGTAACTTTCCCCAGACGTTATACTGACCTGTATGTAGAGGTTGACCTCGGCACTTCGGCAAAGATATGGAAAATTGCCGCCAGTTTTGAGGTGAGCCCTCCTGGCGTTGGGATACAGTTTATACATCTCCTCTTTAGCTTCGTGTGAAAGTGCACTCTGATCGAACACCTGAAGAGACGGCAGGGTCCGGCCGCAAATGGTTACGGACGACACTCAGCGTGGCAGAAACCTCTGAGGTCCCAGCAAAGGCTGGGGAGTCGTGACGACGCCGAAACTCTACTTACATCCATAATGGTCACAGCCACGTCCTTTATTTTGTGAGGCTCCACATATGAATTCTGGCAGTTAAGCGTCAATCGGGAGGCAAGTTCACTTTGGTTCAGACTCTCCAACTGGCATCAGAGCCAAAAAGGCGAGAGAGAGAGAGAGAGAGAGAGGAGAGAGATTGCCTTCCAGTCAGTTGGGAATGTGTGAGACACGTACTCTGTCTGGTTTAGAACAAACACTTTATAAATGCCTAACTTTCCAGCCCTAACCAGTTCTAACTAGCGGTCAGTGCTTTGGCCATCTGTTCAACCTTAACTACAATCTGTTCAACATTAACTTTGTACATTTAAAAGAAAAGTATTAAATACGGGAGATACTACTATTATGGAGGCATTTTGCAGTAGCATAAAATGTACCACAGGGAAAGACCATTTCTGAACCCAGCCAAAAAAAAAAGAAAAGAAAAGGGAAAAAAAACACGACTAAGATAGGAAACTTCTAACCCGATCAACCATGAAGTCAATGGCATGCGCCATTTTCGGGTCGAGCGGTCCTTTTGCAAAGTTCCCCAGAACAATCTTCTTTAATATGAAGGCAGGCATCAGCCAAAAACTGAAACAGGAGAAACACACAGAAAAGTCACACGCGTTCAGCATGCAGGGGATCGCGTGCACAGCAGCTCAGCACGCCTCTGCCAGGCAGATGAACACTGTACCTGTTTGCTGTCCATGTTTGGTTAAAGATGGAGGTATCACTGAAGGAGTTACACAGAATGAGGGAGTGCACTCTGGGAGATTTGTACGTGCACTCGGCAAACTTCTGCGCCAGAAAGCCCCCCAAAGAAGCCCCAAATATGTGCACCTGCGACAGAGAAATTTATTAATCCTTTGCAAAAATGCCCTTCAAGAAGCATCATTTAATGTCACACACAAATCAATATTTTATAGCAAGAAAAAAGGTAAGCATTCAAAATATCAAACCTTATCTAGCTGTAGGTGATCCAGCAGTTTCCTGAACCCATCACAAAATTCCAGTATATCCCAGTAAACTGGATACTGGAGCTGAAAGATAACAGCAGTATGAGTTACCTTATCCAGAATTTTCAAAAACTATGACCATGGACACAGGAGAAAAAAACTGACCATCGCTTAAGCCAACAATTGTAAATCAACCCACTGATATATTAGTACATTCAACAAAACGTTTGTCGGTATATTTTTTCCGGAATAATGAGTAGCACAGATAGAACAATTTCAACCTCTATTAAACCACACAAGTCTTAGCAAGAAAAGCGTAAGTATAGATACGCAGGGGGTATTACACTGTGCAAAAAAGTTCTCTACACATTCATCTGCTATTCCATATCCAATTCAGTGAGGAACGTGGAGCCCCCCCCATAGTACTCACCGAAATGACTCTGTAGCCCCAGCCAGTGAGGGCCAGGATCTGCTGGAAGAAGACCTCTGCCGTCCCGCTGACTGGCGGCAGGAAGATAATCGGGCATCTGACGCTTTTCGGACCCGCGTCGTACAGCGACCACACCTTGCTGTCATCGTCATCCACTATGATCTAGCGTGAGCATCACGGATGGACGTCCATCAGAAAAGCGTGAGTCACTTAACAGTGTGAAATGTCCAGACCCATTGCTGGATCTAATTGTATACGGATCATAAAATAACGCTTAAAATCCTCTGCGATTACGCTTAATACTAAAGAGATACAAAATATCTAGGGCACGATATTCTAGTTACATTTTATACAAGCATGCGAAGGCAGCTTACTCTTTTCAGAGGGACGGTGCTTCTGAACCAATTGTAGTCAGGGGATACTCTAATCTCCTCCATGGCTAGGGCAAACAAACCATTAAAAAAAGTTACCATTTACACGAACTTAAGTTCATCTGTATCAAACATGCCACACCTGTCCCTAGTTTTATTCTGCTGGTCTTTGACCCCCTTCATCCACCTTGCAGATTAAATTACTACTTTCGTCCTTAATAAGCCTTACTGTCTTAAAATGAAAACCGTCAAATTTACAAGTAACTGGCGAGTATACGCCTAAAATGCACCCACCACACTCCTTGTCAGCGGATGCGGTTTGAATGTGAGCTTGAGTACAAAAAAAGAATTTAAGAAATAAAAACCAAATCAAATGCTTTCATTTCAGAGAAATAAACTGATTTCATTGTTTCTGTTGAATGATGAGTTTGTTTCTGGGTTATAGTCGTTTTTCTTAGTTTTACAGAAAACAGATGCGCTCAGTTATGAAGTAAAGGGATAAAGATTTTTTGCTGAAACGTAGAATATGGACTGCTAAGGCATGCCACAGATAAAGAACAAAGAACCCACCAAGCGTGATAAAACAAACTACTTAACGAATTTTATTTTTTACGATTTAAAAGACCAATCACGCCTGGTAAACCTCAGCCGCAGTTATCTAGTTAAGTAAAGACATCGGCTTGGCATGCGTCCTTACTAGCTACCAGCCTACACATTTAAAGGATAGCTGTCCATTGCTGCGTTTCTGCATTTTCACAAACTTAGATCAATCCATTATAATGGCACGCCACCAGACACGCTTCTTAGCTCTTTAATTGTGCTGCTAAATCTAACCTCTTTGACGGTACCCACTGAATCAGATGAATAGTGAATTACATAAGACAGTATCTGCAATGCATTCGCGGATTCGAAATACAAAACATAGTAATATCGTGTGTACTTAGGATATCAGCCTGAGAAGCACCCACGCTTGGCATCAAACTAGATCATTTTTCTCGCCCTCTTCCACTTGGTAAACCTAAGTCACATGATTGAGCTTAAATTAACTTCCGCGATTCTTTTAAATCCCGCCTTCTTATAAACGTCACCCATAGAAAACCCCAATTACAAAGCAGAATTCTTAACCGACTTCCGCGATGTACGGATGACGTCATTATTGTTAACAGAATGCAGAAAACATGCACGTACGGATCTTGATCTGCAGGGACAATAATCCTATCCAACCAATTCTGTTTAGGCGATTTTAATATGGTTTCAAGGAGGATGCAATTTCAACTCCCCAGATGAAAATGCTATAAGTTCAATAAAATAATTGTAAAGTTATATTTGAAAATGTGGCTTGTGTTAGTCATAACAAAATATTATAACAATTTATTGTAAATGTATTTACTATTTGTGTAAAGGTATTTACATTTTTTAACAAATTAATGTATCTGGATAAATGGCTAATTGGACTTTTTCGCCTTGCACACATAAGCTATCAAATTCCTGCCGTATGGAGTTCATTGCCAGCCAGTATATGAAGCATCTTCCCTCCCTCAGTATTTAAACCCAGACTGAGTTTTATTAATACTGATAACTCTGGGCTGTTTGTAGTGTGACTTATCTAAACTAATGACCCTAACAATGATGCACCTGCTTCTGAAAGCTTTAGCGCATGTCTGTCGTATCTCAGGGTCAGCGCTGATCCGCACTTCATACCTGGGCGCTATCTATATACCTGGGTTGAGTATAAGTGTGATATGCATGACATGTCACAGCGGGCTGGGCAGTTGAGTGCTGTTTTGAAGTTTTTTGTTCCTTCTCTGCATTGTCCTTCAACATTTTTCCACAGAGATTTGTATTACTGCCTCCTGTTTGTTGGTCTGACATTTTGTGGTGCTATTCTTCTTAAATCTGAATTGCTTTAAGACAACTGTGTCCAGAAGGGTGTTGTATAAAATATCAGTGGGATTTCCTGATTCCATTCAGTCTGTTCAAGGCAACAATGATTCAGCACATATCATATATCAGAGCCATCACCTGGTGTCTGAGTCTGTTTCTGGAAAGATCTTTTAGGAAGATCCGAAGGTATCCTAGGGTATTTTTATGAATTAAAATTACTCAAAGTTCAGCAGCCCTGGAAGTCCCCAAGCCAGGTATATACTGTACCATTTGCTCAAGTATCAGAAGTATCTGTATGAGACATTAAGTTTGAGAAAGCAAATACTTTCCTTGTAACAATATAAAATGTCATTTAATTCAGATCTATTATTAGCATTATATTTCATTCCAAAGTTCCATTTTTAACATCACACAAAGCCCAATTCACAAGGAAAATGTACAAAACACCTCCAGGGTTGTGGGTTCAAATTCCACCACTGCTTCACTGTGAGTTTGTCCTTGTGTCATGGGGGTTTTCCACCACAGTCCAAACATGTGCAGTGTAATGTGGCGACTGCCTACAGTGTTTCACTCTGCACATGAATGTGAGATCCTAACCACGGTGAACTGTCGGAACATATACATACCTAATATACAATGGTAAGGGTAGTGGGACGACCTATTACATAAGTGGGCGTACCAATCATAGCGATTGGTGCTCCGCGCCGTGTAGGCGTGGCTTAGCAAGGAAGACGGAGAAGATGTTCTCGCTGATTTAATATGGACGACTCACAGTGGATCTTCGTGCTCATTTATGTGTGGTGAAACATGATCACTCAGTATTTTTTTACCCAGCTTGATTACAAAATTACTCTCCGGACAACCCCCAAGAAAAAGTAAGACGCAAACAACTAAATAACAAGAAAATGTATAGTACAGTGCAGGTGGTACAGAGGTTGAAACGTGGAAAGTATATAGTTAAATGCCCGTGGAAAAGTGATGAGAGCATGATATTCACTACGACTTTCTGCAAGACACTGAAGGAATTAAACAGAGTTTGCTAGAAGAAAACAACTGCATAATATCTAATCGGAACCGTGACGTTATTTAGTTGTCCATCTTCTCAACGCCAGAAGATCTTTGGTGAGATACTGTCAGGCGGACAGTGACGTAATGAGCTCTGAACGCTGAGCTCGTTACGTGGTATTCCCGACACATTTAAGCATTTGCGCTACAGTTGCTCCTAAATTTACAGGGTCACGCCAGAGCGAGGAGTAAATATAAATTTTTTGCTTTATTGTTTCTTTGAGAGGGTGTTTACACATGCGATCTCGGGGCATAAGCTTGACAGCCACAGCTTGAAAGGGTTTTCGGCCAGTTTACAGCGGACAGAAAAACGCGTAAGTGGATCATGGACATTATGTGCAAAACAGGTTCTGACCTCAACGACTCGGTAACTGGAGGACAGAATCAGCCAGCATACCGTCTGTAGCGTTACAGGAACACACACTCTCACGTTTTTATGTCCCGACATGTCAGCATGGATGTATATTTTTACAACGCAATCCGAATTTAAATGTTTACCCAGGCTTCGGCCTACAAGCAGCTGCCCATCGCCGGTGTCTGCTACATTTTAACACAGTTATCTAGTTCTGGGTGATCACCTAACTAACTAGATAACTAGATTTCAGTCAGTTTTGTTTGTATTAACTGGTGACAATGATCCGCTTTTATTTATAGGAACAAAAACATGCCATGTCTGTGCGCGTCTTCGGTGAGGTTCCTCCTAAACTCGGCGCATAAAGGTAAGACAGTCCGGGGCAGGAAACCTTAATATTGCTGGGGAATGTTTGATCTGACCAACTGAGGGTAGTAATGTCAGTGGTTTAATGTGTGTGTGTAATGTTAATGTATTTCCGTGGTAAGTTGGACAGCAATGTGAATTCTCATCGGACCGATTTCGTAATTGCTGTGGTGTTTGATAATTAAGATTTCTCTGTTAGACAAGATTTTCTTAGTCTTTATATCAACATGCTTCAGTTTATGAGTAGTTTTTATTGCTGAAAGATGTTTAGCTTGGAGATGAAGGCTATTATTATTATTATTATTATTATTATTATTATTATTATTTATTGAGTTATGAGTTTTCTTGCATTTAAAGGAATCTCTTGCTCTCGGGTTCAACTGTTTGCCCTGAGTAGACCAGGAGTTCATGACGTTGGCCTGCCTCGCAAAGTACCTTTGAGAACTTTCTCAGAGTCTGCGGTTTATTTTGCATTCAAGGAGGGATCGAGCAAAGACAGCTCTGCTGATGGTGGAAAGGTACACATATTATATATAGCTGCTCTACAGACAGACAAAATGCAATCTGCAGGTCGATGATATAGTTCTGTCGGTAATGGGTGTTAATCTTTGTTAGTGTTGATGCAATTATATATTATCTAAAGTAGTTATTTTTCCAGATGGTTCCACGCTGAGCAGTATCCATTTATCACCTTTTGACTGCATGTCTATCTGAATATTTTACTGTGGTTGTGCAAGTTTTGAAATGATGCCTAAAAGTATATTGTTGGTTGATTGTGTAGAATTAATAATGCATTCCGCTAAGACTTTTCTTATGTAATACATGTGGTCGTTTTTGTCGCCACGATAGAAATCAGTTGGTGACGGAGGCAGTAAAAGGTCCGGTGGATCCGGAGGCTCCGGGAAAGGAGGTGGCCAGCTCCGGTGCCCTAAATGCGGAGATCCATGCACTCACGTGGAAACCTTTGTGTGTAAGTTTGCCATCTCAGCTCCACTGAGATAACCGAGAAATGGTGTAATAATAGAAAACTCGGTGTAACTTTGGATTATCATCTGTATGTTATATTCTTATTTGTACTTATAGATTCTGTTTAATGCAAGGCTGTAGCCATGGACTCAACATCGCCTTGGTTTAATGCATGTTGTTTACAAAAACAAGGAATTGTTGTAGTTCTTGGTCCACTTACCAGTTTTGTGTTTTTTCGCTCCCATACCGGCAGCATCGACGCGCTTCGTTAAATGTGAGAACTGCCATCACTTTTTCGTGGTGCTCTCAGAAACGGACACCAAGAAGAGTCTGAACAGGGAGCCGGAATCAGCCACCGAGGCGGGAAAGTTGGCCTTTCAGCAGAAGCCCCCTCCTCCACCGAAAAAGGTAACTGCTCCAACTAGGGGTGGGAATTAGCAGACACCTCCCTCATTGGATATAACTATATTTGTTTTCTGATTCATTATACATTGCAATTTTGAAAATGACGTCATCTTTTATTTTTGTTTAATTTTTGCTTAAAATGTTTACTTTTTACATTGATCCTCTTGAGCATTTCAGGTGGGTATTCCATTAAAGTAGCTAAAGAAAGGCAGACTTTTCCGAAAAAGTCAGACTCAACCTAGCTCCATCTCTAAACTTAGCCTCACGTCGTTCCAGGAACGCAGTTCAGTTTTAATTAATCAAGGCTCATTCAAGACAGACTTGCATAGTCTCACTTAGTGCGCACACCCGCGATATTTAAGAAGCCCAAATAAATGGATAAACGATAGATCGTCCAAATGAGTCGGAAAGCCTGTAAAATGAGAGCGGTGTTTCTTTCCGCCGCAGAATAAACGCTGCTGATGGAGCTGTATGAAAATACAAAGATGTAATCGTTAAAAAAAAAAAAGGCAATACTGTGGCCATAAAAAGCCAAGCAGTTGGCTTGACAATGGATTGCAGACAAACGTAAATGTTACAAGTGCTTAGTACAGTGGCATGGTAGTACGGTGGTTTATGCTGTCGCCTTATAATAATGTGAAAGTTGCTGGTTCGAACCCCATAGCCAACGGGGAACCTTCTTGGTTGATTTCACCTGTTATTATTACTGTATAATATTATTTGATCTCCGTAAAATACTTTAAATCACATCCGTGTGAAATGTTGTGCTCAAATAACTGGATGTTGTCTTTGGTATTTTAGTAGCAAACGTTCAAAGTAGACAGTGACTAAAAATATAAAAATATCTTCCTGTTATTTTTATTATTTTAACGGATTTTTTTTTCCAATTAGTCATTGCAGTTCATGTTTCACCTTTGTAATATGCATACACTTTTATTTTACAGTAAAATAGCATTATAACGGACTTCAAGGGACCTGGCAAAACAGTCCGTTACATCCAGAGTTGCTGTATGCCCAGAACACAACTACAGGACACCATTTACTCATGCCACACTCCAGCAGACACACTTGTGGTATAGATTATTATATTGTACATGTAGTAATCCAGCTTTACCTGACCAGATGCGTGACTATTAATAATCCCGACTACGTACGTATCTGCGCTGGATATCACCGGCACGCCACACGCCTTGTAGGCGGAGCCTGCATGTCCGTTATAGCCGAACAAAACTTCAGCTAAAAGCGGCGCTGGGGACTAAATTGTTTGTCCATTATAAGTGAAATTTCGTTATATGCGAGTCCGCTATATCCGATGCTTTTTCTGCATGTTCTTAAAGGCGCACGGCCAGGACCAGCGGACCTTGTCCGTCATGGATGATATTCCGTTATAAGCGAGTCCACTATAACGAGATTTTACTGTAATTATTTTGGAATTAATTGGAATGCTAAGACGTGATTTTATAGGCTTTATTATATTGATTATGTAGCAATCTCAGCTCTGTTCTCCATATTATGGAAGTATCACGCAGAGCTTTACTTCAGGAAAGATGGTTTTTATTCTCTGCTTTCTCGTCTTGCTTTTACTCACAGCACTGACTATAGGGTGCCATTTTTTTATATACGTATATACAAGACTCATTCACAAAATCATGTCATTTTGGTACACCTTACAGATTAACAAAAAAATTCAATCAGATAATGTAAAATATAATGTCAGATGAGGACATATAATTCAACAGATTACATATGACATGAATAGTAAGATTGCGGAATTTCGTCCGATGTCGGACGTTTTTTGAGACAACACTAAACTAAGCGAGACAGTTAGCCTGGTCCGAAGCAGACTTGTTCGCAGGTATAAATTACCATGGGCTGAATAGCGGGGATTCATTTAAGACACGTTGATGGAACGGAACTCTCACTTAAGTAAGACTGACTTGTCGAAATAAGTCAGACTTTCCCTTAATCCTGCTTCATGGAATACCCCCCCTGGTCAACATTTAAAGCATTTTTTTTTTTTGTACATTAAAGAATCTTTTTAGACAAAATGATCTGAGGTGGAAAATTCTGGTCCAGAAAACACAAATCCAGACCAAGGTTTTGTTTCAACCAACCATTTCAGTATAAAAAGTGACAATGACAGAGTACTTAACTTGCAACCAAACCATGGTCTGGATTTGTACTTTCTGGACCTGAACTTTCCACTAATGGAAATGATCAAAATAAAATTATTCAGTACAAACTCCAGTACCTGCAGTTACAGCAGCTTTTTAGCAGTCAACTGTTTAGCCTTGCCACTAGTGCTTGGGGGGATATTTAAAGTTGTCGAGGGTTTGGTGCTTTGTACATGTGGCTGCAAGTTTTTGGTCATCCACAGTGGTGTTAGTGGTATTACCACAATATTTAACTTTACGGTGGCAAGTCTTGTAGATAAGCTGCATTCATGTCTAACTGTCTGTTTACTTTATAGACTCCAAAGTTTGTCCGCCCTCTGGATTTACATTGAGACTGTGCTGGAAAAGTCTCTGCACATGCTTGCTTATTCATGATACCACCGTGCCAGACTTGTGCATGTCGGTACCTTAGCAGAATCAGCCCATGTGCAACTGGGCAAATGTATTAGCAGTAACAAATGTGGGCAACATAATTACAGTAATTTGTTTCAATTGATATTTTACAATAGTTTTTTTTTTAACTCAAAAATTGTGATTTGTAACTGATTCGATCCCCCCCCCCTCCATTCCCACTGCAAAAGCAGATGTCCAGTGGCCTCTGAGAGCTAGCTGATAGCTATGAGTCACATGTATTTGTTATTCATTCAGCCTTTCTCAGGTCTGCATGTTTTTGTTTGGTTTTATTTTGCTGATTGAGTGAAGTTGTGTTTCTTCTGGCTAATTTCTACCTGGCTTATAAGGGAATGTGTTTGTCTTTTTGCTTTTGTGCAGATTTTCGCATATCTGGATAAGTATGTAGTGGGTCAGTCTTATGCTAAGAAGGTCCTGGCAGTGGCCGTGTACAACCACTACAAACGCATTTATAACAACATCCCAGCAGGCGCCAGACAGCCCCTGGAAGCCGAGAAGCAAGCCTCCCTGCAGCCACGAGGTTGGTACAGTCCGGGAGGTCTCATTACGAAAATGGGGAGGGGGCTGTTATTTGAATAAAACCAAAATGAAGGCTGCCTCTTACGGCTGTGCAGATGTTCTCTCAGAGATGCCCTGATGCAGTCTTTCGTCTTCTCTCACCAGAGCTTGAGATAAGAAGACGGGATGATGAGTACAAATTCACGAGTAAGTGTGGTTCCCAGCGCCCTTTCCCTGTGTGCTGTTGGTGCCGCCCATTTGCTGCCCAGATCTGATTTTTAGTGAATGCTGTATAGTATGTGTAGGTGAGGTGGTGACTGAGTCGGACACAGATGAGGTGGCTGCTGGCCCAGTTTCAACTCCATGTTTGCTGTGACTATTAATAGACTGAACTTGCACCTATTTACACACAGAGATGTAAGGTTTCTGTTAAAGTGACTCCCTGCATGAAGGAGACCATAATTTCTCCAGACCTGCCTTTCTCTTTATAAAATGTAAAGTTTTACCTGTAAAAAAGAAAATCAGAAAATGACTCAATGTTGTTGCTCCATCTAGTTTTCGATGTCTGGTTTAGTGACTGAGTATTAGTAGTCTTGACTAAAACACAAACAGCGTGATCTGGAGCGAACTGTGAGGCTAAAGCTCTTACCAAAGTTCATTGTGTCAAATGATTTCTATGGCTGATCTGCTGGTTTCCATGTTACTTGTTCCTGTTGAAACAACAAAGCTTATTTTAAACACCTATCTATCTTATTATCACCGATCTCGACCAGAACTCCTGGAAATGGGTCTGTGCTAAACTTCCTGTGTTTTCTGTGATTTCTGTCTAGGTAGTTTTATCTGGATGATTTTCTAATTGGGTGAAAAACGAAATGTAGCCAAATAACTCCTGTCCTGTCATCGTTACCATGTTTGAACTTTACAGCTTTGGCTGTCTTGATGCTGTCTTGGTCGCTTATTGTGGACACTAACAATGCTCACTACATTGTTTTAACCTACTGCTTAACTCCTGCCCCCTCTGGGATCAGAGCTGCTCCAGATCGCGGGGATCAGTCCCCATGGCAACGCCTTGGGTGCCTCTCTGCAGCAGCAGGCATCCCAGCAGGCTCCGCAGGAGAGGAGGGGCAGTGACATCATGGACTCCGCCCACACTGACATCAAGCTGGAGAAGAGCAATATTGTCCTGCTGGGTCCCACTGGATCAGGTGATTCTAAATCACTAAGTACTTTTCATATGTTATCGGTCTACCGTATCTGGTAAGATTGTCAGAGTAACTTCGCATCGCCCCCCTGTGGTCCCTTCAGGAAAAACACTGCTGGCTCAGACCCTGGCGAAGTGTCTGGACGTGCCCTTTGCCATCTGTGACTGTACCACACTGACACAGGCTGGCTACGTGGGAGAAGACATCGAATCGGTTATCGCAAAGCTGCTGCAGGATGCAAATTATGCCGTCGAAAAAGCACAGCAAGGTGGGTTTTATCTGACTTATTCAGGATCACTAGGTTGTCGTCACAGTTTTATAGACCACAGAGGCCCGCGGAACTGAAGGGAATCTTACTTCCTGCCTCCAGGGATCGTCTTCCTGGACGAGGTTGATAAGATTGGCAGCGTTCCCGGGATCCACCAGCTGCGAGATGTGGGTGGTGAAGGGGTCCAGCAGGTCGGTATCTGAAAGACGGCGATTGTCCTTCAGTCCAGCTAGAATTGTGCCTTGTAAAATCGCCAGTGAGGAGACATCTGGCATTTATTGGAAAACGGCTGTAAATCGAGCCGCAGTCCCTGATAATGATAAATAGTTAGCTCCTCTGCGGGATTTATTTTTCTCTGCTGTCTGCCTCGGCAGGGTTTGCTCAAGCTCCTGGAGGGAACCGTCATCAACGTGCCTGAGAAGAACTCGAGGAAGCTGCGAGGGGAGACCGTTCAGGTGGACACAACCAATATCCTGTTCGTGGCATCTGGCGCCTTTAACGGACTCGACCGGATCATCAGCAGGAGGAATAATGAGAAGGTGATGCATCATTAACAAACTGTGAATACGGATCATTTATTTGGAGAAATTCGGGGTTAAAGCACATCGAGAGAAAATCATTTGAGTGAAGAAGCGATTTGTCTCCACCCTCGTTTGTCCTCTTCCCTTCCTGGGATGCAGTACCTGGGATTCGGAGCTCCATCCAACATGGGCAGGGGACGTGTCGCGGAGTCGGAGGCAGCTGACGCGGCTGGCAGCAGGGCGGACGCGGTTCGCGAGATGGAGGAGCGAGACCGGCTGCTGCGACAGGTGGAGGCCCGTGACCTCATCGAGTTCGGCATGATCCCCGAGTTTGTGGGCCGGCTGCCCGTGGTGGTGCCTCTGCACAGCCTGGACGAAGACACGCTGGTGCGCATTCTGACGGAGCCGCGCAATGCCGTGGTGCCCCAGTACCAGACGCTATTCAGCATGGACAAGGTCAGCGCCTCCTCGTCCAACATCTTTCCCCAAAATTGCCCTCATGTTTTAATAATCGATGCTAAAAGTTGCTCGGTTATTTTGCTGCTGGATATGTTACTGCAGATGAGGTACTTGCCTCTAGGGAGCAAGAGTAAGACCCTTTTTGGGATTTGAGCCGGCAGCTCTCAGGACTTCCGTTTCTTTGACCGACCTGGCCTCATAATGCATTCAGCTTGCTGGAAGAATCTCATGTTAATGGCTTCGCCTCTGCGGTTTCCATTTCAGTGCGACCTCAACATAACTGCAGACGCCTTGCGTGGCATCGCGCAGTTGGCTTTGGAGAAGAAGACGGGTGCCCGCGGGCTCCGGTCCATCATGGTGAGTCGCTGGAATTGAGAATCTCATGCTTTATGGGGCCTTTTTTTGACTCGTGCCTTAACATGCATGACAAAATTACCAGGAGAAGCTGCTACTGGATCCCATGTTCGACGTGCCGCATTCCAACATCGTAGCTATAAAGATCAACGAAGACGTGGTTCTAGGAAAGTCACTCCCTCAGTACATCAGGCAAGTGAACATGCATCGGCGTCGGTCCCCTTCGTAACTGCAGGACATCCATTATTTTGGAGGAGAAGCTGCAGTCTTGCGGTTGGAAGCTGATTTTGAGTTTCCCGCCTTTTTCAGAGCCCCATCTAAGGATGCTGCCGATGAAGAGTATGAGTGCGGGGTAGAGGAGGACGGCTGGCGCAGACAGGCGGACATAGCCAACAACTGATACTGCTGCTCAGTGTCTCTCCACAACCATCCAACACACCACCGTTGAAGTTTTAGGATGAATGGTTAAAGGGAATCGGCCCTCCAGCCTCCTTAATTTTCAATAACATTAGCAATTTCAGTGTGTCTTGGCAACAAAGGTTCATAGACCAGGTTTAATTTCATACTAAACAGCTAGCAATAGGTAACTGTTTATCTGTGTTTATCTTTGTACAGATTATTGGTTAGGGCTATAAAGAATCAGAGTAGACTTTTTTACTTTAACCTGGTGGAAATGTTTTAGGATCCAAAAGAGAAACAGATCAAATTTTAACATAAGACTGTTAAGTTTTTTTTAAGTTTGTGTTGACATTTTATCACGTTGTACCTTGATTGGCATCACTTCCTTTTCCTTTTCACTTGGGTGAAATTCTGTAGATACATATTCAGTGTTTTCCTTACTAACACCCCAGCATTCAGTGCGAGAAGTATACCGGTAATAAGCGGCTGTACTGTCCTTTCCGAGGTTTAATACTTAGCTGGCATCAGGACTCTCACATTCATTTGCAATGACTGATGCACTTTAGGAAACGTATTACAGAGGTGGTGGTGTGTTGTCAGTTAGGATGTAACTATTGTTTTTTCATTTTATGTATGTTGGGTTCTGTTTATTTATTGATTTGACTTACAGTAACATTGTAGCATTAAATGGCACAAACCATCTTTCCAGGAGTCATAACACAGGAGTGTTGATGCTACAATGGCTTCCATTAAGAAACAATCTGCCTCAGGATGAAAGATGCTACTTTCATTTGTATTGTTCATGTCGAACCACTGAAGGCCTTCATAGTGCCACAACCCGTTGGCTGAACTCTGTACATTGAAAATCTAGTCGAGAATATTTGCTTGTCATTTTTAAGTTTAGTCCCTTTTTCCAGTTAAACATACACTTACAGGAAACTTAGCCAGAGTGCTACTCTGAACCAGGTATGAATCTTAAACGATTTGTCAGTGTAATTGTTTAAATATATAAATAAAAAATGTATATCTGTAAAAAAAAAATGTCCGTTTATGCGATGTAAAATAAACAGCATTTTATGCAAAATTATATAAATAAAACATGTAAATATTTTGGCGAATGTGTCATTACATAATGCTACACCTGAATGAAGTTTCTTTATAAATAATCTAAATGGAAAAGGCACTTATTCCTAATGATTTCATGTTATTCCTATAACAAATATGAAAAATAAGTTTAATCTATATTGGATTGATATCAATGACATAAGCATTCAACTTACATTATGTTTATAATGTTATATGTATATTTATAAATTCGTCGTTTAGGTTCCTGCGCCAATGAAAGGCTCGACGACGATCCATGGCAGGTCACTTTGGGCGTTTATAGCTGAGTGTCGTTTTTCTACGTTCAGCGTTAATATGCGGGCCGGGTGTAATGAGGCCTCCGCTCCTCACTGTGTCGCTGCGAATTTAATGTAATAAAGGACGACAACTTCCGTAACCAAAAAAAAAAACTGCCAGCCCCGGGTTGTGGAGTGATGTTGTACCGGCAACACTATTGGGGTGTGGATGCTTGTGTTTTGCTTTCTTTGACTGCGGATTAATTGACATTTTATTCATTTAGATCTTTTCTTTTGCATTTCGTAAGTGTGTGGACTGAAGTCGAAACGATTATGGAAAAACACACGTACTCGGAAGGACAGGCGCAGCGGGTGTCGCATCCTATGTATCCGGATCCTAACATGCTGGGCATGGCGAGCGGCAGCTTTCCGGGTGCCCGATCATACGTTTCGGCCAGTAATGAGATGCTCGGTTCAGTACCAGTCCCAGGCGGATTTTGGCCCAGTCAAGGTATTTATCAACACCCACCGCCGCCGCATCAGATGACTGCTAACAACCAGAGATATGTTCAGCCACAGTGGTCGCCTTTTATATCTCACATGGAGCATAACAGATCGGACTACAGGTTTGGACCGCCGTATCATCAAGGCTTTAACCGTGAGCCTCAGGATTTTTCTGTTCAGGGTTTTGATCCGACTCGTCCGCCACCGGCGCTTCCTTTCAACCCCGAGTCTAACCATAGGTACAGTGAGGCGGACGGACCGGCCGATCCACCTTCCAGTGCGGACCCGGATTACGGGCAACATAATCAGATGGGGGTCTCTCATTTAGACAGAGCGGTCGGTGACCATTCGCACAGCGTTAGTGAATCGCGTTTTAATCACCCGGGGTTTGGGGGTCAACAACAAGGTTTTGATTATTCCCCGGGGACAGTAAGATACGGCCGTGATTCCGCGGACCATGACACGCCTCCTGGGTGCTGGCAGGACGGCGGACTGTTGGTGAGACTGCAGCCTTCACCTGCCGATCCAGAAAGCACACAGAGGCGCCTGGATGAACAGTGGCTCTTGACTTTTTTGCTGAACAGGAAAATTAAAAAGTCCTCCGCTTCAAAGGAACCTGATAGTGCCCTACCGATATGTGAGCTGAAGGAAAGGCTTTATGATGCCGCCCGACTTGTGTCGGACTTGTCGCTTTTATGCCAGACATTAAAACAAAACATGGAGGACGAGGGCGTGTGGACGGAGTCGTACGCCAAAGCCGCGGCGATGCGCAGCGACCTGCAGGACAAACTGAAGGTGTTCGGCGACAGCGCTTGTATGGACGCCTGCAAGAAAAAGGTGGATTTGATCCGCAGGAAGAGAGCCAGGAATCGTCGTAAGAAACGCGAGTCTTGCGAGGAAATAAAAGAAAAAGAGGCAAGAGCTTCTGAGAAGGACGCCGCTATAGAAAAGTGGCGGATGAAACGTATCCAACAAGTGGAAGAGAAGAAAAGGGTATGAATGACGTCTCCATTAAAGTTATATATTCTCAATATGTTTGGTGCCACAGCGAAACTGACGCCGTGTATTACATTTCCCACTGCGTACAGGAGCTTGAGCTGCGGCAGGCGGCGGACAGCGTGCTGTCAGAGGTGAGGAAGAAGCAGGCGGACGCCAAGAGGATGACGGACGTCCTGCGCTCGCTGGAGAAACTGCGCAGGCTCAGGAAGGAGGCGGCCGCTAAGAAAGGTGCCGGGCACGCGCCTGTCAGGGACCGGGTGCTGGGTGGTGATGATGGTTTACTGTTCTATTATTATAATCGCTTATCCAGTGCAGAGTCAAAGAAAACCTGGGTGTTATCCCAGGATGCACTGCACACAGAGCAGCAGCCAGCCTATATCAGATGTAAGTCAGTTGCGGGGCACAAACTTGTAACCATATCCCTTTGGAGCTTCCCAGTGTGTGTCCATTACAGCAGTAGTTCTCAACCTTTTTTGCCCTGCAACCCAATTCTTACCATGTCAGCTCAGTCACAACTCTATATCAAGTATATGTTTAAAGTAATGCTATGATCAGTGCACTCTGCAATTTACATCAATCAATGCCTATCACACAAATCTGATTGGATGTACCAGTGAATTTTAAAGCAAGCATCTTTGGTTTGGCTTCTTGGATTGGTTGAATGTTCACTAGTTTTGCGCTAAGCATTTGCAGACCCAAGACTTGTTTATGTAGGTTAATTCTAGGATTGGGGCTGGGAAATCTGATAGTGATAGGAGTTTGCTGGTTTTAAAATGCTTACATTCCAGCTCTACTTCTCGACCCTTTCAGAATTTGCCGCGACCAAAATTTTGCTTGCGACCCATGGGTGGAGAATCGCTGCATTACGGCGAACCCACTGCCCCTCTGAGCTCAGCTCAAGTATGATTTGGAAGTTTAATGCCTAGGATCTTAAGAAGAAGGGGAAATAAGCTGTGAGGTATTTTAACAGCTCAGTGTCCTTGGGCTCTCTGCCTTAGTATTTTTGATTATGCTTAAATATCACCCCCATTCTTACAGGACTTGTTACTACAAATGATTCTGCCTCCTGGTGGAAGGAACTGCAACGACACCTTTTTTATATTTGGTATAAGTGAGCAGGGGTCTCCTATACCAGTCCTGGAGAACCCCCAACCCTGTACACTTTTGTGTTTCCCCTCATTTAAAACGCCTGATTCAGTTTCTCTGCTAATTACCACCCATTTCTTCAGTTGAATCTTATGATGCATGTACAGAGCTGGGTAATTCAGTTCCAGAGACTTTTTGTTTCAACTAACCAGTTAAATTCTCTGTGACTATGACTCTTAATGCGCAACTGGTTGGTTGAAACAAACCTTGGTCTTGACTTTCACTCTCCGGACCTGAATCACCCAACTCTGTACGTGTATAACTCAGGTTTGTCTTTTTTTTTTCTCTCTCTGGGACAGGCGTTCACCCGGAAAAGGAGGCGGACGAGGTGTTCGAAGGCCACCTGGAGCGCCTGAGGAGGCTGATCCGCAAGCGTACGGCTGTGTACGCGGCAGAGGAAAAGGCACTCCGTGTCATGCTGGAGGGAGAGCGAGAGGAGGAGCGGAAACGGGAGCAGGAGAGGAAGCACCGGAAGGAGAGGGAGAAGCAGCTGCAGAGGAGGCGGGAGGTGGAGTGTGTGCTCTTCGGAGGTACGCCCGGGGCTGCTGTTAAAATGGACCTGTTTGGCAGCCATGTTGATAGTGGAATAACAATGTTCTTTAAACAGCATGTGAGGTGCTGTCAAGTCTCTTATTGGGATGGAGTCTAGCTCAGTTGGTGAGGGATCTGTGGCCTAATCGGGAAGGTCATCGGCTCAAATCACGTGGCCTTTAGCCATAATTGCTCCAGAAATGTTGGATGCTCCCACCCGAGGCCTGTATCACAAAGCAGGATTTCTTACTTAGCTGGATAACTTGTTGGTTTTAAGGTGGTCTGGGCTAAGAGTAAGTAAATGACTATAAAATCCATTTAAATCCATTTTTTTGGTCTAAGCAAGACATCATACTTTGTGATACAGATATTTGTTAGCGTGTTTGTGTCTGTCATGGAAAGCAAGATAAAGCAGTATAAGGGGAACATTACCCAGTTTCCCCACAGGGGGGCGATAAAGTACCGCTGTTCTGTTCCTCCCAGATGAAATGCCTTCTGACCACCCGCTGCAGCCCTACAGGCAGTATTACTTACAGGCAGAGACCTCCCTGCACGCCCTCATACAGACGAGGTGAGCTCTACATTTTGGCATTGCAGCTTCCAGTGAGTTCACCACCGCTGCTACGACACAATGTGGCCTGACCTTCACACAGGTTGCAGTCCTACAGTGTCTTGATCTCCAGTTGAACTTCTGATGTCATGGTTTCCCTGTCTTCTTCCCAACCAGGAGGGCGTGGGATCAGTACCTGGTGCCGTCGGATGTCCCTGAGGGCAGCTTCATCCCTCAGAGCTGGGTTCTCCCTGAGCTGCCCTCAGATGAGGTGTGGAGCACCGCCTTGGATAAGCAGAACACCGGGGGTGACTGACACCCCGGCACACAGCCTCGTTCGGCCCCCGTCCCACAGTCTCTGCTGGTGGTGCTCACTGGTCCCTCTGGAACAAGGACAGATTGTTGATCAGCAATTTGACCTTTTGATCAGTTTACCTCTGGGCTTCATGTTACTTATGACATGCATGTTTGCCCCAGGCATGTCTGATATTTAAAAAAAAGAAAAATGGAAAAAAAAAGATGAATAGATGCTGAAGTATTTATTTTCATAAATAAAAACTATATTTTTTTAATTTGCTGAAAATACCGTCAAAATCTGTGTTTTATTTTATTGCACAATGTTTGGTAACCATTATTACTATAATATTCTTCCAAACCTGAATTTCCTGATAGTTTACATTTTTACATGGATTAAAATGGCACCTATTTCTGTTATAAGTGTAGCAAGCAAAGGGAGAAAAAAAAATCCTGTGTGCATTGGTGTTGGATCTAAGAACATGCGAGTTTTAAAAACCCAAATTGTGAATTGTGCCTGTGTGCATTTATCTTTTTTGGACTGTGTGCAATGTGCAGAAGCGCTCAGGAGAGATCTGGACATTAGACAGGTCGTTTTACTTGGCGGGAATTGTCTGAAATTTTTACCCGCCACAGTCATTGAGTTGGCAAAGCCGTGGAGATATTTAGTTGTTCCTTTACAAGGTCAAATTTAACCATCTGACATTATACTAAATAAAAAAAAAAGTCTTCAAAAAAAAAATTCAGGTCTGGCTCGACCGCCTAATTTGGATTTGGGTATCTTGCTTTCTTTGCGGTTCTCCCAGTGCAGCCCGGATTTGCCTAGAAGGGTCATTCTGTATCACCATATGTTGTTACTGGTAAACGGATGATGTTAGTAAGTCATGACGACGGATTAGTAGCCCAGGGAGGATTATGGAGGTCAATCAGTGACTTAAGACGCATCACCCCCTCTGGACACCACCAGATCTTTCAGCTTCTCTCCTTGGCCTGAACGCGTGAGAGTCCACCCGCACTCCAAACACAGCCGAATCCAGTATCCACCGGGTGGACCTAGTTGCCGTCGGTTACCTCCAGGTATTCACATATCCGGTGTTCAGCTTCCAGCTACAAACATGGTTATAAAGTCGTTTTACTGAGCTTATGTAATGCTGGGTGTCATGGTGCTTTAAATCTTTGTTGATGGTGAAATGACATTTAAGATTGAATGCAAGCTGCAGATGGGCGATGTTTATGAATGGCTTTGGTGGGATGGATGTAGAGGGACAATTGGATGTTATGTAGTCAGGAAAATGCAGCTGTCTTTTTCTGGTTGCAGTGGTACCTTACAGTTAATGTTTTTATCTGAAGTGGGAATGTAGTGGACTAGCAGCTACCTGAGAGCAGGTGGAACGGACACTTGCCATGTACTGTATCTCACCCTCAAATCTTCCTGTAGGTGTCAGTATTTCTCCAAACCAGCTATACGTTGCCGCTGCTTTGGTAGCATTTTCCTGGTCTTTAAAGTTGTGCCGATGTTGTCTAAATGCGTAATCTAGAATTTTAAAGGATGAAATCATTTTACTTCCAATAATGATGCTGTTAAAACACTCACATAAAACTACAGTTTTTTAACTTTTTGTTTTGCTGGGTTAGCAATTTAAGCCAATTTAGAGCTTAGAAAGCAGCTGGTGATTAAGCCGGTGTTGCGATTATGTGGATGACACCCAGAACCATCTGCTGGTTCTGAAGGTTTCCCAGGACCTTGGCCCAGCTGTTCCTAATTGCCCCTCATGCCTATTAACCCCCTGTGGCAGAACTGAGGGGTGATTCGTACTGGTTGTCAGTGGGCCTCTTGCCAGAGCCAGTGTTGTGGGAAGAGGCCCATGGTCCCCAGTCTTATTTACAGAGGGCCGCCGGCCAGTCATTTAACCAAACCCCGCGTTGGCTAATCCTCCATTGTGTAAGGCGGTAAATACAGTGAATCAAGAGGAAGACATCAACGCTATAAAATAACATGGAATTATGCACTTATACAAAAAGTATTAAGCAAGAAATAATTTATTGGAGGGGGTGTGGGGCAGCTTTATGGGTTTGGACTCAGAATGTTACTGGATCAAATCCCATGGTCAGCAGAGTGATGTCACCATCGGGCCCTTGAGCAAGACCCTTATCCCCAATGGCTCCAGGGACTGGCTGCCCCTCCTGTCTCCTCTACACCAGTGTCCTGAGGTGCCTCCTGGGATGCTTTCCCAGCTGTCCTGATGGAGGTCCCACATATATGCTGAGCTCTCACTGGCCGCTGCTCCTTCACTCTCTGGTCAAACTCCTCCAAAACCATCTCTACTGTGTTTAGGTCAGGTGGCCAGGTCATGAGATGTGACACTGTCACTCTCCTTTGTAGGCAGCTTGGTGTGTCTAAACTTTTGACTGGTTCTGTAAATATAACTCTGTGAAGCGGTATGGTTCACTAGAACTTTAAGATGCAGGCACAGAATCAGGCCCAGGATAGACGAGATTAGATGTCTTGCCTTAAGTATATTTGCACCAAAACTCAGAAGGACACCGATTGTGTGTGACTGTCTTGTCGCTGTTTAAACCAGACGTTTTTTTAAACCCGGGATGAGCAGTCTGGCGGACATCCCTTTCAAGATCCCCAGTGTTTCCATGGAGATGCCTCAGCCCGTCATGGCCCCCGAGTTGCCCATCCCGGACGTCCTGCAGTTAATGTGGGAGACTGAGGTCAGAGCCCAACTGTCACCCTGCCGTCAAAATCCCTGGATCTGTGTGTGTGTGTGTGTGTGTGTTTGTGTGGCAGCCCCCCACTCCACAAAATGGGACATCACCTTCAGTGGACTCTCCTGAAGTGTTATATTACTGCTAATGTTATGATAAGCTCGCCCAATCTCAGAGTTCATCTCCTTATAATAATACTCATAATAGTGTCAGAACTGCAGCCCCGCTAAGTAACCAATCTGTATTAGGCGAGGCACTACGCCAAGCTCAAATCCTGTATTATCTAGAGATTTTAGCTGGTCACCATTCTGTGTAATTTGTGTCTTCATCTTAGCTTGCCTTCTGCATTCCAGGCCTTTGCTTAAATTCCTGTTGTAAACACTTAGCTCTTAAGCTGGTACTCTATCAGAAATGTTTAAAAGGATATCTTATGTAACTGAGTAGTGACTGTAAGTATTGTCAAGATCTAATGGTTCTCCTGTAACCGAGCTCTTTGTGATTTCTTCAGCACGACCCTCCATAAATAGCCTGCTCTTGAATGTCGTGCTGCGTCCCCCAGTAACGATAGATGGCATTGGTGATCTGTTCTGCGGGGCTTCTGCACCTTCTGCCTGTGTTTACCCTCTATAATCTTTCTGCAGACTCTTACAGTATCTCTCCATCATTAATTTCTGCCGTAGGACATCCAATAGAATTTACTATCCTCAGCCATGGGGAGGAGGCCCTTATTTGGCGATGAGCTGAGTTTCGATTTTGTCTCGCGTTCTTCTATTTTGGAGAAGGACATCTGAAGGATTAGAATTCTATACCGTTCTGATAAGTCCAAAAACAATAAGGCCCAAATGCACCTTTTCCCACATAGTTTAGGGGAAAATGTAAGCAAGAGTGAATGTTCAGATTGTGATAAATCCTCGCGTTACTGTGATGCAGAGGCTGGTGTGAAGCTTTGTGTTTGACACTTACTGATTGAAACTGTGTCACTGGTGGGCGATTATCAGAAGACTGTGTGAATCCTGCTTCAGGGTCTTCTGGCTGCGTGACCATGTGATTTTTCTATTTGCCAGTATGATTTCCATTTGGAGAACTGGGTCCTGGCAGGACTGGTAGGGGGGTACCCCAGGTGCCCCGAGGTGCAGCAGCCTGATGCCCCATTAGAGATCACCTCGTCCTGCCCCCTTCACTGGCTGATGTTCGGCAGTGCCGAGGTGTGCCGGCTGGCCAGCCCACGGGGCGCCGAGCTCTGGGGTCCGTCCCCTCGTCTGGGGAGCCTCAGCTTGAACCCCAAGGTGACCATAGGTCCCCTGCCACCCAGGGTAAAGTTCGCCATCTCCGTCTCTGAGGACAACATGGACAGCTGCTCTGAGGATGATGAAGGTTCCTCCAGTGAAGACCCAGCAATGACTCTACCCACCTCTGGCCCAGTGCCAGTGCCCAGCTTGTCAGAAGGAGGTGGGCCTTTGGATTTCAGGAGTCCCCAGCTGTCCTCCTGCAGCCTAGCCTGCTACGGACAGTCATCACTGCATAGGGGCGTTGCACTGCACTGCGCCACCCACTGGCAGCTTAGCAGGCCACGCTGTCTTGGTTCCTCTGGACTCTGTGCCTCATCCACCTCAAGGGACCCAGCACCTTCCTCAACAGTCCAGACCTCCAGGGTGGAGCAGCACCAGACAGCAATGCAGGTAAGACGTGAACCACACATGTCTCTGCCCCGAAAAAATGCAGGGATTTTATTCTTCACATTTAGCTCATATACAATCAATTGGCACTGTTTCACTGGCTATTTTGATACCATTGTGCTTCCAAGAAGATACTTCGCTTGTGAAGACCTTGGTTACCTCCGTATGGTCAAAACGGCCATCTTTGGCAAAAACTACATGACCTTGTTAGAAGCTGCCAGGTGTTAGAAACACTATAAACGATAAGCCAGGCATCCGGATCACCGTTCAGAGCATCAGAAGTATTTCAGACATGGGTCCTTCAAAACATTTGTCAGGTCGGAATGTATAAAATCCACCACGACCATCATTGACATGCAAGGGATTCTATAGTTGAAAGAAGGAAAATGACATAGTATGTTTCATTCAGGAACTGAGCATGAATTGTTTAGGCTGAATGTCACTTCTTGGGGTACAGGGGTCCAAACTATGTTTGCTCACATTTCTCATATGTTTATACTGATGAACCAGCTAATAATAACTAGTGTAAAGCCTTTTCCTGGAATCCTACCAAGCTGGTTGGGATTAACAAGTACAACTGCTCTGGAAATGTCTTTCTCAGCAGTGGGGCATGTCAAGGTTATGCATACAGATCTTCATGGCGTAATACATTCTGATATTAATCTCCTTTGTGCCCTTATTTTGAAATTCTAAAGGCGGAATTTACAGCGTGAGATAAACATCTAGGACTGTAGGGCTGGGGGTCGCTATGACAAATCGCTCCATTATTGGTGTGAATTCTGGTCTTATTTGGGGGGCTCTGATGTAGTGTTCTGTTTACTCTGAAGTCCCAAAGCCCCTACTCCAGTCAGCCCCGCCCCCCCCCGGCAGGCCGACCCCTGGATTCCCACACTTCCATTGCGGACTCGTCGGCCGAGCTTCTGTCGGCCCTCAGCCAGGAGGAGCGCGATCTGTTGGAGACCATCACGGAGCAGGGATACCCCCTGCGAACAGCCATCATTGCCCTGCAGAAGACAGGCTGGCAGAGCCCAGATCAGGTCTGGTAATGTCCATGGGGGGGGTATGATAAAACTGGGTCTCCTGACCATTTGCAGCCATGGAGTCTATTCTGGGAATTGGAGAAAGGACCCTCAGCAGCAACTAAGCTGAAGACAGTTATACACTGAAGCTATAGAGCTCTGATATCAGGGAGCCAAATCTCCGTACGTTGGAGATGATGTCCATTTCCAAGCACCAAGCCTAATATTTAGATGAGCAACACTTTGTGGCAGCTTAATAACTATCTCAAACCAAAGTAATCCTCATCTTAATTCATGCTTTACAAATGTTTACATTAAGCACTGGAAAAACAATGAACGATTTTCAAACTGACGTATCTCCACGATGTAGTTTGATTCATGGCTACATTTTTTGCCTATGAGCATATGTAGCTGCTTAGAGTCCACTTATGTAAGCAGTCTAATGAGCTGCCAGTGGGTTTTTCCTCTTAAAGAACCCTTCCCAGAATCACGTCTTAAGCTCGCTATTGCTCTCCAGCTTGATGAGGAAACATCTGGTTCTAACTTCCAAAACTTGGTGTTGGTTTCCTAAGAAAAGAAGAAGGAAACAGATATAAATAGACATCTGCTCCCCGGAGCCTCCAAACCTGGTGTTTATCGCCTCATTCTCAGCATCATACAGCAGCTCTCATGGGAACCAGTGAACTCTGCCCACCCCCCCGAGGATCATAAACTCATGGCTTGACCGTTGACCAGGCCAGGCATTTTCCCGGGGGGAGCCTTCTGTGCTTTTAAGTTCTGCTACAGAGCAGTGGTGGCAGTACAGTACAATCTTCAGTACAGAGAGTCCCCAGCCTTTGATTCATCCTGTTTTCTGATTGGCTGGAGTGTCTGTCACATGTCACTATCTTTCGCTTAAACATTATTGCCATTTTCAAGGGATTTCTGATATGATCCGGGAATCGGATGCTAATTACAGTTTGATGGGGAGCATGAACGTGTGACTGCAGCTGGTGTGGCAGGATAACGGCTTTTTGGAAAAGGGTTAAGCTAATCGTGGCTTAGCTAATCTGGAAGATTCTGTCTCGTACACCAGGAGGTATCCTGATACTCTGCCAGGCTGACATACATAACATGGGTCTCCATATGTGTACCTGTAAGTGCCTCTGGTCCCCACAGATGCTGAGATACCTGCTGTCATGTGACCGGCTGTGTGAGCTGGGCTTCGACGTGACCGAGGTCCAAGAGGCTTTAGAGATGTTCCAGAACTGCGAGACCAAGGTGAGCAGCCCAGGTTGAGACACCAATCCATCACGTTGTCTTTCGAGCCGTATCAGCTGATACCCATGTGACTGTCTTAGTCCCGCTCCTGCTAAGACCAATTCTGCTGTCAATTTTTAGCCCAAGGCCGGTTCTTCAGATTTCTTTCATGCCAGTTTCTTCTAAAAAAAAAAAAAGCTTGCAGAAACTGAACAGCAGATGTCGATGTGAACAGTGGGGATCCTAGACCATTTCAACCGGGGGGGGGGGGGGGGGGGGGGATCCTAGACCATTTCAACCGGGGGGGGTCCAGACTGGGGTCAGTTGTTCTGTTAGGGGGGCCAGCTGCATTTGACCTTAATGTCCTCCAAGTATTACTTACACTAGATTGTCAGCATTAAGAAGCAAGAGACAATTTTGAAGGCCAATAAGTTATTTATGCAATGCATTTTACAGTTTTTACAAATATGTAAAAACTGATTTTTCACTCTGATTTCTTGTTTAGACATTTAGACAGTCTTGCTTCTAACAAGCTTGAATATTTTTTTCTAACATCACTTTTCACTAACTGAAGCAACTCAGCCACGCAGCACACTGCTGTTTGAGTCCATCAGGAAAATGTCACGTCTGTGCTTTGCCTGTTTCCAGCACACAGAACTTTAACTCGCATATATAAATGTAAATATTATTATTATTATTATTATTATTATTATTAACATCAATAATATAATAATAATAATACATTTATTTCAGACCCAAGTAGCATACCACCGCTGGATGTGAAGGGCTTGATGTTCACCATAGCAGTGCTTTGGCCAAGATAATGTCACCATCCAGGGCGTGTTTCTCGTCTTCAAATGACTCCGGATCTCATGGTTTCTTGTTTATCTTCCTATCCCCAAACTCCTAGGCAGCTGAGTTCTTGCACCTCCTGGCCCAGTTCGACGAGATGGGATTCCAGCAGAACACCATTAAGGAAGTGCTGCTGGTCCATGAGAACCACAGGGAGAGGGCCCTGGAGGAGCTGATGATGCACGCTGCGTGATGGGCCCAGCTGCTATCCCATGATGCACTTGCAGGATTGTCACTCCAGAGCCGTGTGCCACAATGCAGCGTCTAGGTTGCCCATGATAAAATCCTCAAAGGGTGTTTCTCAATACCAAGAACGCAAAGATTGTATTTGTGATCTTGGCAAGACCAGTCTTGCTAACTTGCCTCCCAAGTATGAATATGGGGCGCAATGAATCATGGGATTCGTCTCATTTGTTGAGGATGCAATGAATGTACGCTTGATATTTGGGATGGGGCAAGAGCGACATCTTGGGATTTTTATCGTCCTCTGTGCTTCTGTTCTTGAGTATTGGAACTGGTCTTCGGCAATGGCAGATGACGTAAAATGGGTACACAAGAGCACAAGTACGGTCAAGTACGCATATTGAGAAACACCCATAATGTGTCAGACTTTGTCCAGATGTCCAGCCATCTTTCCATCCATCCATCCATCCATCCATCCATCTATTCATCAATCTTCTATACCCACTTGTCCTATATAGGGTCCTGGGGGGTCTGGAGCTGCATTATTCACACTCATTCACACCTACGGTCAATTTTAGCAACTCTAATCCACCTTAGTCTGTTTTTGGACTGTGGGGGGAAACCAGAGTACCTGGAGATAAGCCCACAATGACACGGGCAGAAACTCCACACACATAGATGTTGAGATGGTTGATTGGTATTTAGGATACAAATTTTATTAACATTCACACTTATTCTGAAGTACTTCCAGCCCAAATCCTAAGCAGTCATATTTATGGCTCGTTAGTGAGACATAGCTGGAGGGGGGAGTATTTCACATTTTTTTGTTTTGCGGTCTCAATCTTCTCATCGTCGACTTTTCTCGGCTGCTTTAAATAAGCCTGTTTTGATGTCAAAGGAATGACATAGTTTGACATAATTATAACTGGCACAATCATTACTGTCGATGGAGGTGTTAGACTGTACGTGCACAAAGTGTAAGACCCATAAAACAGGCAGTTATTCAGTCAGTCAAACTTCCTGTTGCTAAATGAGTGGAACGTATTGCCTAAAAAATGCAAGTTTGACCGAGTTCCTGGGAAGGGAGGCTGCCGCTTTACACATTGGAGCAACAGACTTACTCGGACCACCCCCGCGAAACAGCCTGCTGCGTAAATGGGTGAATCCGTCGGCCGCTTTGGGGAAAAGTATCAGATGAGTAAGTGAACATACATGGCTCATTTAACGTTCAGACATCAAGGGCTGTCTTCAAGCAATGGTGGTCCCATAGAAACTTCCAGAACATCTTAGTTTTATTTATACTCTTCTAACCTACCAACCACCTGTTTCTGCTTTTCTGTACATTTTTCTTTATGATTCCTGCATGTGCACAAGGTCCTGCTTAGGATATGCAAACAGATATGGATGTTATTCTTACACGGAAAGTACCGTACAGAGGCCCCTGTTGAGAGTCCAGGTTACCAGATCACAGCCGTAGCAAACAGAACGTGTATCTGCTGGTTAGGTACTGAACAGACAGGAGATGACAAATGTGAGGGTTTTCTGTTCAGTTAATGTCCCTCCACAGAAAAGCCAGAATATACATTACCAGGCAAATGTTTTTCCACACAGGTTTTTACCACTTTTCCATTTATTTCATAAACTGCAGATTTTTAATTCTTAAGCACTGGAAAGTTGAATGAATAACTATACATGAAAATATAAGTAAAATATAAAACGAGTTTCCTTTATAACATGGAAAGAGGTTCTAATGGTGCATGACTTTCATCCTATTAACTGGTTGTGTGGCAATGGCATAGTCAAATTCTAGGCTGTCCTTTAACTTTAAATGCACTAGTTGTCTGTTTCATCGCATGAAACAGAGCAGCACTTCATGTCCCTTGCAGAATGAATGCCACAGATTTTCTCTGCTGTTATAACTGCTAGAGGAGGTAATTTTGATGAATCAAAGATATGACATTTTTTTGCTAATAAAAGTACTCAAATGGTGAACACACTGTACTTTTATTTGTTAGTCTCTCATTGTGTGCAAAACCTTTTCACTGGTAGTGACTAAACAAAAAATACAGAACAAGATGATCTGTACATTGTTTGTCCCCCTTCTTACATACTGTAAACTCTGACCATATTATGGAAGCTTACCCACATGGACCGGGGTGCCAGGAAATATACGCTCCTTCTGCTTCGTCAAATTGACGTTTGTCTGGCAAACCGGCCCAGGGGACGTGATATAAATGGGCTGTTTGTTATGAAAACAGGATAAGGCTTTTCATTTAGGACTCAAAACGATTCTGTGCATGTATTACAGCGGAGAACAGACATCACTCTCCAACAATTTATGAAAACATAATAAAACTAGGAAGTTCTCAGGCAATGATACATAAATAAGCTGCTCATTCTCAGGGGCAAATGCAATCCTAAAAACTAGGTACGTTTAGGGGACGAGCAAATGGGGGAAGTAAGTAATTAGTGCTACGTTCCTGGCTTTTGCTGTAAATGTGCCAGTTTTGCGGAGCTGTTATCCCAAACGGTGCCTCCTAATCTCACAGAATGTTTTGATGTGCTCCCTTTCACATGTAACAAGATTCTTGTCTCTGTTTCCGTACATAAATGAAAGGGAGAGTACTGGTATGCTCATAAATTGTTTAATAAACTGCATAAAACATTCTCATCAAAGAGCGCAGTGTAAAGAGGATGAGGGATGGGGGCGACTTTGGTTCTTGAACCTCTGATAGTTGTTGTTCTTTCTCACCAGCTGATTCTCAGGCTTTGGCAGCCTGAGTAGAAAGGTCCAGAAGGAGCCGATTCGTGGAAAACCCCGCATTTGCCTTTTCGGTTTCCATGCGTCGTCCTCAATGGCATACTCCAGGGTCATCTTCCGGTTGAATGTGAAAACGGAGTCACCCCTCACTACCGCAGTGAACAGGGAGCCTTTGCTGTTGCCATAGTGGCCCGGCATGGCTGTCCACTGCCCCGTGGTGAGGTTGAAGCGGTCAATAGCACACCTCAAGAAGTCATCCGAGGGCCCATTGCGCATGACATAGAGGTTGTCTCTGTGGGCCACCATGCAGTGGCCATAACTCTGGTGCCTGACTAGTGTCGTGAGGAGCGTCCATCTGTCTTCCCCGGGTAGGTACTCGTGGATGTCAGTGGCACCCTTCGGCTTCCATGAGCAAATGAAGATCCGACTCATCGCTTTGGCACTCGGGGCGTTGGATACGGGGTGGGGAAATGGGGAGGCCTGGGACCAAGTGCTGGTGGAGACGTCATACATCTCCACCGAGGACATGACCGTCCTGTTGTACTCCCCCCCGATGGCGTAGAGGTGACCATCGTGCCCCACCAGCGTGAGGTTGTAGCGAGGCTGGTGGGGGCTGGCAAACGTACTCCACGTATCGGCAGAGGCGTCGTAGCAGAAGCAGGAGTCGACCACCTGGTTGGTAATGTCACGCACCCCTCCAACGATGTACAGCCTGTTGTCCAGGACAGTCAGGCCGGCCATGGTGGTGCTGGCTTCGTTTGGCAAGTCAGTCAGAACCTTCCAGTCCTTCTCATCCTCATCCAGATAGCACACCGTCCGCACGAAGTCCTGCAGCAGCTCGACACTTGGTGAGTGGGCGCCGACGGTCACGTACGTGCTGGGGGTCAAAGATTCAACGTACTCCAACAGCTCTTTGGGGAGACAACTGGCCGCCCCTTCCAGGTCACGGTAAGAGTCTCGGAGAAACAGCGCCCCACTGTGGAGGAGGTCTGCTATCCCATAGTTGGCTCCCACTTGACATATGAGTAGGCAGTTGTCAGAGTTGATGATGTTTACGAGGTGCCTGGCGAGAAACTCCACCTGGAGGAATCCGGCACATTCCGCGGCATCGACGATCTCGTCGGCATCCAGCATGGGTTGCTCGCCCCTCAGCACGCTGAGCATGACCAGGAACCCGCGAGCGCTTAGACCCTTCAGGTGAATTTCCTCCTGGCTGCACTCTCTCATTCCAGACCGGAAGAGAGCTCGGAAATACTCACAGTGCTGGAGCAGCAGGGCCCTGTCGACGAGGAAAACGCTCTCCTCCACTCTCACCTTCAGAGCTGTCTCTCGTAGACGCTTCCCTGGTCCGCAATCTGGCTGCCTGGTTTCACTTCCCAGTTCAAAGCAACTACTAGGTTCCACCATGTTTAAACCACCTTCTCCCAACACTTAAACTGCAAAATAACACAACAGCCTGCCGAGAAAATTTACCTGGATAGTGAAAAGCGTTTCTTTTTCCTAGTCATTTTTCCAGAAGATGACACTGTGTACTCTACACAAGGTAGCTGCTCTTACACAAGTATCTACTGTACTGATCCCGGTATTTTTCCTGGCTGTAAGAATAGCACTGGCTATAGATAGCAGGGTGACAGGGGAGCAGTTAATACTTCATGACATGCAAACATTTGACATGCAAAAACAGACATTTATGCGTAGAGATGCAAGGTGGATTGATGCATGTAGCAAAGCAGACATTACTATGCTAACGATTTATAGACATTTATTCTTGGATGTGATCTTGATTTTTGGGAATATGCCAATTTCAGCGCTTTTGCAGCTGAATGGTATCTGAGGTCACTGCTATCTGTATCAAAAGTCAAAACCTTTTAAAATCATTTTCTATCATAATGTGTTGGGATCTGTTGTCAGAACACATTCTCTATTGACAAGAACGTATGAGCAGATAATGGAGACTCAAATCCTCTTTATGTTCTCAAAGTGACCGGAATATTGTCCATATCTCTTGACACCTCAGCATAAAATAATTGTTAAAAACCAGTAACCAAGGGCAACAGCTCTAATGCCAATTCACTCAAACGACCCAAAAGGTACTGTGCTGACCTGGAACACCCCTTCCCAGCCTCACATGCCCCCCCCCCTACTGTGAACCCCACCTGCCAATCAAATTTCCATTGTCTCCCAATAACCTCTGGCAGCTGATACAGCAAGCCCAATGACATGCTCCCCCAGGGCAGATACAGAAACGTGGGCCAGATCCAGCACACACAGGATGACATAAGGGCACCTGCCTATCTCAGGACACTGCATCAAGAGATTTGCATTTCTGTACATATAACTCACCCCCAATGGCTTCAATCATTGTGTAGCTAAACCCAGTGTCGAGATCTCTCATTCGTCCTTCATTTCTGCAGGAATCCAGTTAGTTCTCCGTGTGAAACTGTATTTTTCCGATTTTAATTAAATACAGAAATGATAGAAATACAATAGATTTCAAATGATTATTATAATTTCTTCCTGCTACACACTTAACAACAATGGTTTAAAAATAATTACATTATATGAGTAATCCCTGAAAATGTCGCTCTTGCAGGGAATATAATGTGGAGTATTATAACAGGATGTATTTCCCCCTGCATAGACGTGCATATACACCCCGTCGTCCGTGTTAAAGTGTGCGCGCTTTCTGAGATTAATGTCAGAATAAATGCTTATAATGTTCCCCGGATTAAACTTCACGCGTCTCTCCATCACTTCAAGGCGGGCTGTGTGAGCCACTCCCTTACAAGGAGCCAGATAATGAGACAGCCTACGTCAGCGCCGGCATTCCTCGGCGAATCGGGCTTTTTCCGTCTTAATATCTCGACATGCAAAACCTCAAACCTCTGAACCGCTTCGTTAGAAAATAACAACACGGGGCATTTAAATAATTCCCCTGGAATTAAATGCAAAAAACTTTCTCTAATTTGCCGGTCTTTACTCAATGAATGGATATAGCTTAAGTCTATCTTATAGAAGAAAAATATGTAATTAATTTTTACTTTAAACTTTCACAATCAATGTTTCTGGGATCCGGAGCACATTTGAAGGTAAACCTGCTGGACTTCACCCCACTTTATACGGTATTTAATGTATCGATACTACCAGCGCTGATTTAATGATATTTTTCCACTGTGTGTCCCGCTGTATTTACAGGCATGTACACGCCCAACGCGATACATCTACCGTAGGGTTTCTTTGCATATTTGCCACCCAGGATGTCCTTAATGTTTGGGAGATCTCGGGGGTTTAGCGCTGCCTCCGCTCCCGACCGAGGGCGAGCCGAGTGTAACGTCGCCGTGCTGGGAATGACGGGATCTGGGAAATCAGGTACGGATCGGGGCTGTACGAACGATTTTTGGTCTGTGGAGAAATTTAGTTATTGCATATATTTTACGCATTTCCTGTTCTTCTGTTTAAGATGTTCTCAAAAACGAATTTCTGCAGCTTTTTGATCAATCTACAGTCACTCAGCGGTATTCTGATAGCCAGTGGGGTGGGTAGTCAGAATTTCAATTGAAAATATCATTATTATGGTCAAATAGGACCTTGTCAAGTTATGAACGACTAAACTTAGACACAACCACCGGCATCTACTGCTATCACTGACAGTCACCTGTTGCTCTACTATAGTGAATATTTTGAAAATAAACTGGATTTAACACTTGAGTAAATGCTAATATAGAGGGCTGAAATCAAGAGGGTTGTCCATGTCAAGTATATGCACTTAAGGGCTTTGACACAGGTCCTGAGAGGGTCAGATGTTAAACAGAAGTGTCTCTGTTTTTCGGCAGCCCTGACTGTAAAGTTCCTCACCAGGCGATTCATCAGCGAGTATGACCCCAACCTTGGTAAGGTTCACATCCTTGAGACCCTGCTTGTGGTTCACAGCTGAATAAACGGTTCTTTAACTTTGGGATGAAGGGAAGCTATTTTTTTTTTTATAAGATTTGAAATGTGCCCACCCTGTTTCAGAAGACACATATACCTCTGAAGAGGTGGTGGATCAACAGCCCGTCCTCCTGAAAATTATGGACACTGCTGACCAGGTACAGAACCCAGTTAGATTTACTTTCTGAAAAAATATACTGAGTCTTACCGCTACCCTGCGTTGGTTAAGCCCTCACAGAAAACAGATCGATGACTTGCTGAAGTTACTTATACGGTATGAGTGAAGTTCTGCTTCTCTAGAACTCACGTTTGTTTGTAACCTCCTATAGACCCACACATGAGGTTCTCTACCTTCTGACATCCTCCACATGTGGTGGGAATAGGGCCATTTTCTCTGTAGTCTTTTCCGACTGGCTGCCCATATGACTGGTGCAGGTTGAGTGACTGGCCAGTTCCTAATTGTGCACCTTAATTGTAGGACGGGCCGGCAAACTGTGAGCGATACCTGACCTGGGCGAGCGCCTTCCTGGTGGTCTACAGCATCGACAATCGACGCAGCTTCGAAACCTGCCAGCAGTACCTGGATGTTCTGAGTCTCCATACTAAGGGCCTCCACCCTGAGACCCCCATCATCCTGCTGGGGAATAAGCTGGACATGGAGAGACACAGGTGCACCTTGGTGCTGTGGTCAGCATGAAGTTTAAGGAATTGCTGATTGATTTTTGAGTGTTGAGTGTTGCTTAATGAGTGTTGAGTTTGGAGTGTTGCTTAATGAGTGTTGAGTTTGGAGTGTTGCTTAATGAGTGTTGAGTTTGGAGTGTTGCTTAATGAGTGTTGAGTTTTGAATGAGTGTTGAGGAACTGGTTCCAATATTAAAGTAAACGCAGATGCCCTTAAGCTTATTTTTGAAACTGAAGATTTAACTTCTTAACAGACCTTGTTACCATGTGACTTGTGTCCCTTTGTGCACATGGTCAAACTCAGTCAGTCGGGTGGTACCAGTTTTAACGATTCCTCTCTATTGGGTCATGCAGACAGGTGAGCAAATCTGACGCAGTGAGCCTGGCCTCGAGATACGGCTGCCTGTTCTTCGAGGTGTCCGCCTGCGCCAATTACCCCCCGGTGCAGCACGTCTTTCACGAGGCGGTGCGAGAGGCACGGAGGGAGTCGGAGGCGGGTCTGGCCTCACGGCCACTCTTCATCAGCGAGGACAAGCATGTGACCCCCGTCCCCCCACTCACCGCCTGCCTCAGGGAGCTGCCTGCCCCAGCCACGGCCAAGCTGGTCACCGTCAAGTCCTCGCGAGCGCAGAGCAAGCGCCGTGCCCCCACGCTCACCCTACTCAAAGGCTTCAAGATCTTCTGACTTCCTAGTGCTTTGTGAATCTTGATGATATTCAGCTGTTACCTCGGTCAGTCTGAGAGCTGACCTGTGAGTACACTTGTCTTCCACTTTAGCTTTTGTTGTAAATAATACCAGTTACGAGGTTTTGCTCGCCACCTGGACTGGGGACCTGCAGAGGGGCGTGGCTGAGCACCTGCCCTTTTTGGCCGAATGATTGAAATTGCCTCCCTTTTGAGGTCCTGAGTGCCGCTTTTCGATCACCGACAATGAGCGACTTAGGAACCTGCAGCCTGGTCTGGTTTCTTCTGGAAACATCTCACCACCCACGGAACTTTCTTCCAAAATGTGAGGCTATGAGTCGGCTGGAGGATATATCACCTGACCACTGGTGACACAGAGCGGAGATTTGCCTGCCTAGACACTGCTGATTACCAGCATCTGAAGTAGAGCGGCTCTCTTTCCGTGACCCGGTGCAGGGTAAAGGCACCAAGATGAGGCCTGCGTTCTGCTTATGATGCTCCACAGCGTTCACAGATAGCCAAGAATTAGGGACAAAGTTAACAAATTAGTGTTAAAATATGAGAATATTATTAAAATGTCATTTAACTCACCCAAGAAGAAATATATTTGTTTACTGTGAGTTACTGAAGATTTTTCTGGTTCTTCTTTTCATCATTAACTATTTTACGCAGCTCATTACTTCAGCCTTGTGGCCAAAGTGTGTAACTACAGGTAGAAAGAAACGCTTGTTTGGAGTGGGGACCTGAGGAAGTATTTCACTCTTTCAGCTTTACAATAAAAGAAGTCAGCTGTGCACAGGTAGTGTAGGGGTTAAGTTCTAGTGACATGGGAGCCTATGGCTGTGCCCCTGATCGAGGTACTTATCCTGCTCAGTAAAACTGCTCCAGTAAAATATCCAGCACTGTAAGATTCTGATAATTGTAAGTCACTGTGGATTAAGCAGCTAAACGCATATTTACAATCTTTACAGCAAATTTGCACAGAATTTCTTTTAACTGAATAAAGTTTTGAAAATTTGCATTAATATTTTTATTAAAACATTAACCTCTTCATTTGAAATACCTGGACCTTTATGGCATACATATAATTTAATATTTACCTTGTGCACTGGTTAACATTATTGGCTCATTATGCAGGGAGGTCTGTTGTCTCTCTATCTTTACCTCAGGTGATTCAGAAATGAGTACAGTTATAAACACAAGGCAACATCTCTAAGCTCCGCCCTCTAATCTTCCTCTTTCGAGTATCTGACGAATGAAGAGTCTTTGCATGAAGTCCACTCTGTGCCAACTGACCAATCAGACGTCCTCTTCTCGAAGCCCAGGGTTCAGGGTCAGCCCATTCTTCTCCCCACACCTGAATGTCAGATCCTCTGATTGGTGCCTCTCTGTTGGGGGCCCGTCGACCTGCCTGACCCCGGTCATTCTCTGAAGCTCCTCCCCTTCTGTGGTCTGGACTCTGGCCTGCTTTCTGCTCCTGGAAGGCGTAAGCACAAGCAGTCAGCACCGTACTAAATATGATGCGCTTGGTGTCAAATGTCTGAATGTATTACATAGTAACTGATAAGGTTTTGAGGCTCCCTCTGGAGGATTTTGATGTTCTGTCAATCACTGATTGGTTTTACTCACATCTCATTGGTCATTGCTCCCCTCATTATTATGTGGCATAATGTATCCATTTTGATTAAATGTAAACCAATTATATGCTGACCTGTTGTTTGTTAGTCCTGTGACTAGAAGCCCGCAGCCAATGAGGAGTGCCCCGTAGGACAGAGCCAGCATGGCGTACTTCCAGGAAGACGCTGTAAAATAGCAGACAGGATGGTCATGTCAGGCCGTTTTACAGCCCTCCAGACCAAATCCGGGGGAATTTAAGGTGCTGTTAAAAACTGCTGAATTTGATTCAAATGTGCTTTCAACAGCCAGGTTAGCAAATAAAACCAAAGACTCGTACAGATTTTATAGGAAGGTTTTATGGTTGCTATGACCTACTATACTGCCTGTACTGTCCAATAAAAGCTAGAATGTGGAACGGGATCAGGGCATCAGAATGAAAAGCCATTTTCCCTGCTGCTTAGTTTTATTGGGATGTGAAAATGATGAAATGCTGTGAGATATCTTTACCTCCCCTCATTCCCACCTATGACAACGTTCTCAAGGTCAAACTCTCAGATGTACAGAATTCCGTAAGTTTTAAGTCCAGGCAAATTATCCTTTAACTACAACCATGACCTGACCAGCAAAATGAAAATCATGAACAAAACTGCAAAACCTACAAAAAGAAAGATGCTGGTCAAGTGTATGTCTGACACAGATTTATCATTATTAAATTTATGCATTTCTGGCATAACTTTAAACCTAGTTTTCCATCATTATTAAATTAGATTAGATATTAGAGTCAACAAATTGTCTGGTGGGAGATTTGACCTATTAAACCTTAGAATTCAAGCTTCACACAGCTGGAACCATAGACGCAGGACATTAGTCTAACACACCCAGGGACTTAGTCTCCCCAGTACTCTGGAGTTAAGCCACTTAAGATCATTGTTATGACAGTTTATGACATGCAGTAAAGCCACTCACTGTCCTCTGTGCGATAATACCATCGAAGGAACTCTCTCTGCTCAAGGGTCATAAGCTCCTCAGACATCTCCTTCTGTGGAGGTTCAGCGTCTGGCACCGTCAAGTGGTCAGAGTCATCAGAAGCCCTTTTTGATCCTGTGTACCCAGTTACAGCAGGAAGGAAAGATGTGACAATGTGTGACCATGGTTACCTGTGATAGACTGTGTTACTCTCTCTGTTAATGACATGTTGCTGAAGAACACTGTGTTTGTAAGGCAGGTGATGGATGGTGTAATTTAAATGTGCCCAACCATGGTCTTTAGGGCTCTGGGTCTGTAGGTTTTTGATCACCCACAACTTCTCATACTGTATCTTCACTGAAGAGCTTATTTGGTTCTTGACCATTCCTGTATGAACTCCAAGCCATTGCAGATATTGTATATGTTACATCTGCACACCCTAAATAACTAATTGAACAAGCTGGTTCATTTATCAAGTCTTCAGTATGATAATTTAAGCTACACTGGTGATGGAACAAAACAGACAAAACAGGTGTCTGGGGAGGTCAACCCAGGACTTGTCAGCTGTCAGTTAGACACTAATCAAATTGTTTTCTGTAACGTCAAAAAGCCAGGATTAGACAACACTTGCCGTGAATATCAGCTAAGGATAATGAAAGTGTGCGACAATGGGTGACATCTTGAGGTCAAGCAAAAACCATGGAAAGAAGAAAACGAAAGCGATTCCTCACGTTGACGCTCCTTGCAAATGTCGCCAATTTCAATAGATTTCCATTTGGACAGTTTGTTGCCTCTGGCCAGGAAGAGGCGGCTTCCGTCGGTGGTGAGCTCCAGGGATCTGTCGTGGTTCATGAGCCGACTGCCTTGGCACTGCCAGAGGAGGACGTCACTGCCGTCACACGGAGCAGTGAGGACAGGGCTGTCCTGCTGCGAAGACAGGCATGTCTTCGTGACATTATTCTCCAGCATCTGCTGGTCTTTCCAGAGCCATTGTTGAAGGTCGGCATTGAGGTCGCAGTACCCTAACTGCAGAGTGTGGTTCCGTGGAGAGTCTTGCAAACACAAGCTGTGAATGCTGTTGTAGATCATAAAGCTTCCTGCCTCTGAAAGTACAGACACGTGACACGGTTATAGCACTGCAGTCCACTACCACCATTGCACCACAATTACAGCAGCTTAACACCAATACGACAATGGTACTACATCGGCATGAAACTACATTTCCATAATTTCCCCAAACGAGCTTGATGGGTCAAATGGCCTCCTCTCGTTTGTAAATATATTATGTTCCTTGCAGAAATTTCAGTCATCCATCCATCTGCCACAATTGCTTATCCAACACAAGGTCACTGTGACTATAAACATTTACACAGATACATAAATATACAATGACTCCAGTATGAAGTATTCTTAAAATACATAAATACTTCTACCTTGTATGAGGAAACATATCAGAATCCAGGTGTAGGACATTCTTTGGTGTTCTTCTACAACTCAACAACCTGTTTGTGAAAGCAGTGTTGAAATTATAACACTGGTGGGCATCATTAAATGCTGTTCTTAGCTGTTTTCAGTTCTCTCCTTTCCCATCTATGAAAAACTCTCAGACATACATCATTTCCAAACCAGATCTGGATTCAGAGCAATGGCTCTGAAACTGTGGGACAGCACTTCTTTTACACTGTAGAGGTCCCATTACAGTTGCACTTTTTTGATTATGAATTGAAACTGGGCTTTGCGTATTTATAAATAAAGCAACCAAAAGCAAAAAATACAAAAACACATTTTAACATCTGTTTTCTTACCTTTTGAGAGAAGCGTTGAATGGGGACGCACCAGTGGGGGGGGGGGGGGGGGGGGCGGACAGAATTCAGAGAACAGCCAGCATGGCAAAGAGGACGAAGACAGGCTCAGCACACGGCTTTTCCAAAGTGCGGTGGTGTCGCTCCGCTCACTTTCTGCTGCAAACTCATTGCTAATCATTCAGCGCAACGTTTATCAATGCATTTTTAAATCCTTATAGCTTCATTTAGACCATATACCCAGGAATTTGTGACTCATCAGTCAAGCTCTGTTGAAATATTTATGAGTACGAGCATTGCACCTTTTATCCCTTCAGAAGAAGAATATGGGCATGAAAAGGTGAATGACCCCCGGGCCACATTCAAAGGAGCCACATGGCTGCAGTATATTACTCATCTGAATGAAAACACACATTTGTAATGTACTGTATCCAAGAAGCATTCACTTTCAATTAAAGCTTGTTTACTTTGAGATCAATGGTTCTTTTTGGAAGAATGATTAAGCAAGACATTGTTTTTTTATTATATAATTATATTGCTAAAATAACCCCCCAACCCTATAATGGAAAAGGGATGGATGGATTAAATGAATAATACTTCAGGGAAAATTATCATAAATATTAATTTTTTGTAACAACAAGAGCAACACATACACCTAAATATATTTATATGAGATACTTATTAAAGATTATATATAGCAACGAAGGATATGATTTGAGCTCCGTTTGTAAGAATGGTTTGATTAGGTAGGAACGAATTAATCACAGGTCGAATGATCCGGGGAAATGAGATTGAGGAGACCGGAAGTGTTTTTTTCCCCAAAGAAACATGATGGTGGCTGCTGTGGTGGAAGTCCGTTTGCTTCAGTATGGCTTTTATGACAACATAGTTTAACACACTATTATGTGTAGCAGTGTGTTTCTGATACTCATTTGAAATCGTTTCACGGTGACAATAATTAAATTTGTCTTTAAAATATGTATTATATTTAGGTTAAGAGCACTACGTCTTCTTATAAATGATTAGATATTAGCCGGTCGGTCCGTAATAATTCTACGAAGGTCGAGCAGGGATGTGGAATATTATGAAGTATGTTTGTGCAGAAGGGATTGTGTTCAGAGGACTCTGCGGGCAGCGTTGTGCGGATAAGCGGCGGTCAGTCCGGCTGTGGGTCAGAGGACCTTCCACGCATCAGATTCACGCTGTGCACAACTCGGTCCCCTTCAGTCAGACACACGTAGTGACGAGTCCTCCTTGGAGGGTGTTATTCTTCGGAACAGACAGCTTTGCTGAGGAATCTCTCAAACACCTGTTTGCCTCAAGGTAAGGGAAGCTCATGCATTTTCGTTCCATTATCCATGGGGTGGTGGGTGGTGGTGTTTGTCCCAGACAGCACAAATACCCTTGATGGGATGCCAGTACATTGCAGGTGACACACGCCAGGGTTACCAACTCTCACGCATCTGGCGTGACACTCACGCCCTCAGACTCATGTTCACGCGAGAAGGCTTACGGCAAATCCATATTATTCCATTATAAACCTAAAATTAGCTACACCAAAACCGTTGGGGAAGCTTTCAAACCGTACAGACTATTTCCAAGGTAATAAAACTGTAAATGCGTGTGCATGTGTATGCAGACTTGTCTGGAATTGAAAATCTCACTCCAGCCAGCTGACCAAAGTTGGTGATTTAGAATCCTGCTACGTGTAACATGCAAAATAAGAACTAATGACAAGATACAAACGCTATAATATCTCTTTGTATGTCTTGTCTTCCACTTGTTGTAGACAGAAGGCAGGAAGTGGTGTTGTGAAACTGCTTGAAGTGGTTACCTTGCCAAAGGACCTTCCTGTGAGGAGATTTGCGCTCCAGAACCAGCTTCATGTTCATGACTGGCCAAATGTAAATGTCCAAGACCGGTTTGATGTGGGTGTCGTGGTGTCCTTTGGCTGCTTGCTTAAAGAGAACCTGATCGGTCAGTTTCCATAGTAAGTATTAATAACTGCTCAGTCATTAATTAGCTTTCTCTTGGTTCTGTGATGAAAATTGTATCCATATTAACTGGATGAATATAGGAGCTGGGTGTATTTTTAATTGGTTCTACAGTTGCAGCTGCTGCAAGTTCATGATTTAGGCTCTTATAGTGAACTTATGGTCTTGTTTATGTCCTGTTTTTATTGCCTGTCTACAGTGGAATCCTGAACATCCATCCCAGCCTGCTTCCCAGGTGGCGTGGTCCTGCTCCTGTGTTCCACACAGTCCTCCATGGAGACACTGTTTCTGGGGTGACTATCATGCAGATCAGACCAAAGAGGTAATTTCCTTCTGTGGGACGCTGGTGTCCATTTACAATACTGAGAAGAACCAGAGGCTGCTACTTGTAAAACTCAGATGAACTATTGGCACATGCTGAACTGGTCCTATTTCCTTATGAATATTGATACTACCAGCCAAAAGTTTTTGCACACACTGAGATTTTGTACATTGGCTTGTTGCTCACTTGATATTTACTAAAAAATACACTCAGTATTCTCTACTAACAAATAAATTCTCAGTATGGTCACCATTTGAGTACCTTTATTAGCAAGAAAATGTCATATCTTTGATTTATCAAAGTAACCTCCTCTAGCAGTTATAACAGCAGAGTTAAGTAGAGGCATTCTTTTACAAGTGACATTAAGCGCTCGCTGCTCTTTCATGAGCTGAAACAGACCATTTGACTGTGCCATCACCACACAGACATGTACTCTCTCCATGTTATAAAGGAAACTTGTTTTATTTGACTTATATTTTCATTTATAGTTGTTCTCTCAACTTTCCAGTGCTTAACAAGAATAAAAAATCTCCAGTTCATGAAATAACTGGAAAAGTGGTAAAAAGTTGTGGTGTACAAAAATGTTTGACTGGTAGTATTTGCTCCATACTTACATTGTTTTTCCATATTAGGTTTGATGTGGGCCCCATTCTGAACCAGTGTATTTACCCAGTTCCAGAAAACGCTACAGCTGAACAGCTTGGAGAGACTTTGGCCACCATGGGAGCCAAGTTGGTTCGTAAAAAATTATATAAATAAAAAACACCTTGTTGCTTCTTTAAGTGGAGGAGTGTTTAATGGTTTCCGGAACTTTCTCTCCCATAGTTAATTGACACTCTACAGAATTTGCCGGAATTTGTTGCAAACAGAAGAGAG